GGTACGGTGAGGCATCGGTAGTATCTCTGCGAGCCATCCCCGTAAAAAGATTTCATGTGTTTGAGCCAAGACTGTCGCATTTCCTTTCTGCACGCGAGTACTGGGGTCAAAAGGTGGCAGGGCCAATACTGTTGTGACACTAGCGTGTCCGACGTCCCTGTGGTCTGTGCTTGAAGGCAGGTACTCTTATTCCCGGATTGGTGAGAACATGACCAATTGAACCAAAATGTTAATCGCCGCTATGTCTGTAAAATGTGTGTGTGTGTGCGCGCACGTGTGTGTGTGTGTGTGTGTGTGTGTGTGTGTGTGTGTGCGTGTGTGTGTGTGCTTGCTAATTTAGCCCAGCGCACGGCTTGTGGATGCAGGTACGCTTCTCACCCAAGCAGTGGCCACAGCCCTGACCGATTTTCCGGACGAAGCGCTGGTTGGACAGGTGTTCAGGGACTTTGGAACAAAGACGGCGGAGGGTATCCATCAACAGACTGAAAAGCGCTGGGTGTTCTTTTCGGCAATCAGGATACTGTTTCGGGTAAGGAACAAGGAGTCTGTTTTGAGGCTGTGCTGGGGCTGTGTGGTATCAAGTTCAGGTGATACTGGAGCCAGAATTCGAAGGGTGATTTGATGACGTCGGAATGCGGCACTGGTAACACCGTATTCCCCCCCCCCCGAATATAAGTCGCACCTTTTTACACTTAACTTCAGGGTCAACAAAGGGAGTGTGACTTGTAATCGAGCATGACTCACTACTGGAGTGAATATATCAAAACGATAATGACATGGACCTGGAGATGGGGGTGCGACTTACAATCGAGTGCGACCTGTAATCGGGGAAATACGGTTAGGTATATTAGCGTAACTCTACCTAACTGACTGATGGCAGTCAGAACAGTGTACCGTAGAACACTCTGTGATAACATGTACCCCCTGCATGGGCAGCAGGAACCCTGCATGGGCAGCAGGAACCCTGCATGGGCAGCAGGAACCCTGCATGGGCAGCAGGAAACCTGCATGGGCAGCAGGAACCCTGCATGGGCAGCAGGAACCCTGCATGGGCAGCAGGAACCCTGCATGGGCAGCAGGAACCCTGCATGGGCAGCAGGAACCCTGCATGGGCAGCAGGAAACCTGCATGGGCAGCAGGAACCCTGCATGGGCAGCAGGAACCCTGCATGGGCAGCAGGAACCCTGCATGGGCAGCAGGAAACTGTGTATTTACTATCACAAGTACTTCTTATCCCATTGAACACTTCAATATGGAGGAATACACGCGTGCTCCGGACAATGTTCGTACTTACCAAGAGTATCTTATCAGAGTATGTAGCAACTAAGTGAGTTCCTCTGTACACATGTAAATCCAGAATATTTCCTGTGCAGTTCTTAATTTTCTTAAATGTTCTTCCGCTGGCTCACCGTCACTGTATGAGTATTCTGTGCTTCCATGGATGCCTCAGTATGGCTCCTTCTTGCTAGAGTATGTCATGTGACGCTGGCATGGTTTCCCTGCCTTGCTTTCAGCTGTTGCGCGACACTGTGCCGGAGACTCTGAAGGCAACGCTGAAGGAGAAGTGCGATGATGACGTCATAGCCATCTGTCACGAGTTCATGTTTATGGCGCTGCCCCATTTCATATCCGGTGTGTCTTCTGTGCTGGAGATGTTGGACGGTGAGTGTCACGTCAATATACACTATAGACTAAATACTACCGTACTGGCAATATATGTTGCCGCGTAACGCGTAACGCAGGGGGTGCGGCGTAACGCGCGACCAGGCTAGTGCGACAAATTTTCGTTGAGTTCGTAACGCGCGTCCCGCGGGGTGCGGCGATCTTTTCATTGCAGTTTGCACTGCAAAAAAATGGCTGAAAACTGTGAAAGCTAAAGCACGTGTAAGCGTGGTGAAAAGTTCAAAACTGGACGCAACAGGAAGTCCTGACACTCGAGGGCGCATCATTCAGTGGTTGGCGATCTCAATGGTTTCTTCTTTCCCGAGGTCGTTTTGCGAAGAAGAGCGATGTGTTTACCAGTTTCCTTGTGACAGTGCAGAAGTCTCTATTCGCCTTCGGCGTGAAGAAAATCACGCCCAAGCATCATTCAGTGGTTGGCGATCTCAATGGTTTCTTCTTTCCCGAGGTCGTTTTGCGAAGAAGAGTGATGTGTTTACCAGTTTCCTTGTGACAATGCAGAAGTCTCTATTCGCCTTCGGCGTGAAGAAAATCACGCCCAAGGAAAGTGAAAAAGGAAAGGATGAGGAGAGAAAGGAGACGAAAAACAGGATTGCTGCTGATCGTGATGCGGCAAAAGCAAAAAAATGATGCGGCAATAGCAAAAAAGTGATGCGGCATTAGCAAAAAAAGGCCTGCGGCAATATACAAACCTGTGTAACGGCTCCTGTGCGACTTTGCATGTAACGCCCTGCGTGCGGCAAACATGTGCCAATGTAACGCTTCATGGCCTCACTGCGGCAACATATATTGCCAGTACGGTATAGACTATATGCTATAGACTATAGAATACTGTGAGACCAGTTTAATTCTAACAATTTAACGAATTTTAGAAGAAAATCGTTAACATTTGAAGTGGTTATGTGCAAAACGGTATGTACATGTAAAGTCATTTGCCGGTTTTGAGACAGAATTCGGTAGAATTTCACAGTGGGAGCATTGTATTTGGCTGCTAGCGTACATGTACATGTAGACCAGGTATCAGTCAGCATTCGGTTACAGTGTATTGAGCATGTAAGCATGACTGCACTGTACACTGCACAGTGTGTATGCGTGATTGTATACCTATAGAATATAGTATGTAGGCATGACTTTACGCTGTACACCGGTACTTGCATGCGACTCCACAGTCCACAGGGCCCTACTCATGACGCCAGCCCAAAAGCAAGAAACGTGCTGCAAACCCGGTGGAAGAATCCTAGAACAGTGCGTATTCTGTGTACTGAGACAACCGTCTGTTTGGTGTGCGGTGTGTGTGTGTGTTTGTGTGTGTGTGTGTGTGTGTGTGTGTGTATGTGTGTATGTACACCTGTCTATTCTAGATTCACGTGTGAATGTGGCGTCCTCGCCTGCTAATGGGTAAGTCCAACATACATACCACTGACCAGTATAACCAGTACCACCAGACAGGCAGTACCACCAGACAGGCAGTACCACCAGACAGGCAGTATAACCAGACAGGCAGTATAACCAGACAGGCAGTATAACCAGACAGGCAGTATAACCAGACAGGCAGTATAACCAGACAGGCAGTATAACCAGACAGGCAGTACAACCAGACAGGCAGTACAACCAGACAGGCAGTACAACCAGACAGGCAGTATAACCAGACAGGCAGTACAACCAGACAGGCAGTATAACCAGACAGGCAGTATAACCAGACAGGCAGTACAACCAGACAGGCAGTACAACCAGACAGGCAGTACAACCAGACAGGCAGTATAACCAGACAGGCAGTATAACCAGACAGGCAGTATAACCAGACAGGCAGTATAACCAGACAGGCAGTATAACCAGACAGGCAGTATAACCAGACAGGCAGTATAACCAGACAGGCAGTACAACCAGCATGTCCAGTCCTAGTGATGATCCCAATGCTTGGTTAAACTTACAACCAATGTGATGTCTGCACGGCATGATCAGATGCGGGAGTTATGTGCGCTGTTACCACCTCAAGTCTTTGAAAAGCATTGCTCCGATCTCAGTCATCTCTAAGGGGCCGTCCGGGGTTACCGATTGTTTTTACAAAACGAAAAGTTTTAGTTTTTTTCAGCCCCCACCCACCCACCCACCTTTTCTGCAGGTAAAACGAATTCCAATAAAATATTGATGTCAATTTTCGACACCCAGAAGTAACTGGGCATTCTCCATCAGCATTCAATAATTATTTTCAAAACGAAACTCCATCAAACCCACCCACCCACAAACTAAAACATTTCGTTTTGAAAATATGATTGGTAACCTTGGACGGCCCCTAATGCAGCACATGTGACACAATGTAAAATAAAGTGCACACGTTGGCGTTACCATCGCCTATACAGCTGTGTTTAGAGCTGTACAACCAGCTTAGGAAGCTTTGCTTGTGCCAGGCCTTTCTTTTTCTTCTTGCTGTTGCTGCTGTCCGCGCAGAGGCTGTTTGTTGTTGCTGTGTGCGTGTGTATGTGGGTGTGCATGTGAGTGAGGTGTGTTAGGGGTGGGAGCAAGTATGGTGTGGCTGCACACAGGAGTGAGAAAGAGAGTAAAAAAGAAGGCTGATATTCTATGATGTACGCGATGCTACACCATGACCGTTTCCGGTTTGAGAACTGAAGTTGTACTTGCAGATGTAGATGTAATCCCTAGGTATTGTGTTTTCCTATGCTAGCGGTTGGGTTATTCGTCTTACTCTGCCATTCATCATTGTTCCTTGGTCTTTCCCTGTTGTGTGTGTGTGTGTGTGTGTGTGTGTGTGTGTGTGTGTGTGTGTGTGTATGTGTGCGTGTGCGTGTGTGCGTGTGCGTGTGTGTCTTACATTACTGCCAGGCGTGACGGTGATAACGAGGAAGATGTTATAGAAACCGAAGACAAAGCCGCAGTGAAGATCCAAGCTGTTATCCGAGGCCACTTGGGCAGGAAGAAGGCGCGCACCTTCAAGAGAGGTAAGAATGATAGCTCAGGTTCCTGTGGTCACTTAGAATTATTGATTTGCCATACCTGTCATGCGGTCGCAATGCCTGGTTTGTGGAATTCCCATGTGTGATACGCATGCCTAGCACTGTTAGACATATACATAGCCAGCTTGATGGTTGACTGGCCGCCAGCTTGATGGTTGACTGGCCGCCAGCTTGATGGTTGACTGGCCGCCAGCTTGATGGTTGACTGGCCGCCAGCTTGATGGTTGACAGCTTGATGGTTGACTTTGAAATCACAGCTCTCCACTGCCCTCTACACACGGTGATGTGACATGTACCGTATTTCCACGAATATCAGTCGCACCTTTTCCTACTAAACTTCAATGGCAAAGAAGGGGATGTGACTGACAATCGAGTGTGACATGCTGCTTATGTGAATATACTTACTGAAACACTATGGCTTGAACCTGAAATGGGGGGGGGGGGGACTTATAGTCGAATGGGACGTATAATCGGGAAATATGCGGTATATGTGTGTACATGATGTCACGGTGACCGCTTTGCCACAAGTCAGATTGATGCTGCCCGACTAGTGTGCTTTAGTTTTCCTTTGAATTACAAGAAAAAGTCAACTGTTTTCTACGGGACTTCTTGTGTAGTGTGTGTCCATGTATGGGACATGCGGATGCATAAAAGACCCTCACGTCTTCCTCACTCCCTTGCCCTTTCCTCCCATCGCACATCCATCATTTCTCTTTATATCTTCCCCTTGCTCTCCTACATGTCTGCATGCATGTTATCTGGGTGTGGGTTATAGGCCGCGAGCGCACCCAGGAGGACTATGGCAAGGCAAAGGCGTGTGCCACGGAGCTTCTAAGTAGCGGTGATGAGTTTGGCCAGACTTGTTGGAGGTAAGCCGGAGAACACGGGCACCCCTTCGGGCAGATCACAGCTAGCAGCTGCAGAACCTGTGTACCCACCATTGCAGACGAATGATAGCATCACTGGTCAATGCCTAATGCTTCACAGATTTAGGACTGATGGCATGCGCGGGTACGATGGCTAGTTGAGGATTTTTTCCTTAAAAAGAAGAACACGGGTTTGCCATGATCCGATGCCGCAAATCATCGTTAATGTTAGTATTGTTGCTCTTCACGTGCTATACATGGCTGTGCATACGGTCGATGACACATTCGGCCGATTATGTCAACACCAGCCTGATTGGACTGATCTAGCCTGTACTTAGTGCAGTCAGCTTACATTCTTGTGGACTAGCGGCTATCAGTTTACAGCACAGTGACTGGGACTGACATACAGCATACAGATATGGTTAACACGTGCCAATTGGCATGTGGCCTATTGCCGGCCTCATTTTGATGTGCATGTGTTCACCTCTACAACATCTATGCTAAGGTACTCAATGCTGGAATTAGCTAGCTGCTATGGCCAAAGAGACCTAGCTATTGCATTTTACAGAGGACTTAGCTAGCTGCTATGGCCGAAGAGCCCATGCTATGGGGACCAGAAAAGTGCACTTCGAGTAGTATGTCAAAGTACTTATCCCAAAGGCAACATAGTTCAGTGTGTGGTAATGCACTGGCCTCCCAAAAACAATCTGTACTAAGCACACTTGTTCATCTTGTAAGAATACCGATACTTTGAGGTTCCACTGTATGAGCCACATCATGCTGTACAGCTTGGGGCTGAGCAATGACAACACAGACGTCACGTCCGACACAAACTACAGGACTGGTGTACCTGCTGTCATTGCATTCAGAGACACATTCTCTGTGTACGTTAAACAGTGTGTGTAGGGTGTAGTTTCTAGTATGCAGGATTCTCAGTCAAACCGTGACCGGCGTGTGACATGCTTGCAGGTACCTGATGTACGAGGAGCCCAGGATTCTGAAGGTCCTGCCGTTTGGCAATGACGAGCGGCAGCATGGCATCGTGACTGAGTTCACCGGCGTGATTCCGGACATCATGCCGCACACCTGGGTACCAATGTTCAGGTGAGGCGAATAGTTCAGTCGTGAATGCGGAGTGTGTGGGTATGATAGTGGTATGTATGAATGTATACCTGTCGGAAGACAGTTGCCTTGATATAGCTCCTGGGGTTATAATGTATAACAGTGTTCTGAATGTTAACTAACACGTCAGGCGAAATAGCACGTCATAGTACATTTGAGATCAGCGGGAAGAAGATGACGACGTCCACTAATTTAGTATCTGTGCACACGAATCTGCTGTGTGTGTGACTCTGTGTGTCAGCTATGATATCATCTTCTGTGGATTCATGCCTAGCATGTACGTCGAACCATCCTGCAAAGTTTGAATGACGTAGGTTGAGCGATCGCTCCGCGAAACATACTTTTTGAAATTCTCTTCATAGGATATCTTCCACCATTGAAATTTCGAATTTCTTTGAATTTTTTGCTGAGAGGGGTGGCTTGCAACCTCGATATGGCTTATTCCAGGCATGCTTTGGAGCCATCTTCTGTTGAAGTAGTGGCGGGGATCTGCCCTGCAACTGCTACAACAAAAAATGATTCGATCTGAGAAAGGGTGAGATCGCGAATCTCGGTTGAATATTGAGTATTTCAAGCCTTTTCACGACGAAGATGGAGTTCTTTTTGGAGATGGACGTCGCGGCAAAGGACATGGTGTCCGACTTCTGGCGTCTGGTGAAGCCAGGGATTATTTGTCCAGTCAGGTCGGCAGCCTAACCGTCGGTAAGCTTGTGTTTGGATCCCGTTCTGCTCGATGTGGTAGATCACAAACAATTTAATATCGCACAAATTGATCTCAGCATTGTGCGTACGGTATTTTATATTCAGAAAATCCCAAAGTGTCTCTGTGTGGCCGTCCTATGCCACGAGAAACTCCAATCAGGCTCCTATGTCCTCTGCCTTCATGATTGAATGTCCACTTCGTTTGAACAACGTACACGGCAACAATCGAGGACGGCTTTGGAATGAAAAATACAGCTATACTGGAGCTGAAAAAAAGAAGAAAAAAAACGTGCTCAGGATGAGACTCGAGTACACGCATACTCTCCCAGCAGGTGAAACGCAAATTTTTGTGAAAAATGCGTGTCGCCGACTGACCAGTAATTTCGCCTGACGAGACAGTTGCATGTATGCTGAACTAAACAGTTACTGGGGACAGAAGGGGCAACGGGGGAGGGGAGCGGCAGGGGGAGGGGAGGGGCAGGGAGAGGCAGGGGAGGAGCAGGGAGGAATCGCTACAGAACAATATTTCTCATTATGCACGCTGTTTGAGCTCAGCGTGCGCTCAAGTCCGTCACAGCCGGGGCGGCTGTGGCCGCCCCACTTTTTTGGGCCCGGACCCCCTTCTATGGCCACCCACCTCCAAAGTCGGTGCGACGGGCCTGGGCCGCTGCCAGTATAGTTACTGGGAGGGAGAGGATGGTGTGTGTGGGGGGGGGGGGGGGAGAGGATGTTGCTACAGAGCAGTCTTTTTGATCATGCAGGCTGCTTGTGCTCAGTGTGCCACTATCACGTTCTATTTCTAATTTCTTTGCCCGCTCTCCAAACATTGCAGAGAGACTTTCATAGTCCACCAGGTGCAAAAGGTGGCATTCTCCATGGAGTGCAATCTACCAAACTATCGATGGAAAATGGTGGTGATCAACAATGACAAACCTAACGATACGCGAGAGCCACCAGGCCAGCAGCTGATGGATCCTGCTGGAGGTAGCACACTGCTAGCCACGCCGCTGCCACGCAGACTGGAACCCAACAAAGTGAGTGAGGTGCTAGGGGTGTGTGTGTGTGTGTATGGGGGGGGGGGGGGGAGGGGGGTATGTTTCTGCTCCTGGTGGATTTCTGTGCATTGGCCGAATGTGGACTGTATTGCGTGGTCCTTGACCAAGCCATGGCCTGTATGCACCACGCACACATTGCATGATCCTCAGGCATGCACTCGTGCATATTCTAACCCGTTTTCTGTCTGGCTGCCAACAGAATGGTTACACGTTCATGGCCTACGGCAGAAGTCTGAAGGACCCGGTCGTTCTGGGCAAGTACACATTCCGCATCCTGGCCAGTTCCTCACCCGTTCCCAGCCCAAAGAACCTGTCTCCCAGCAGTGACATTGCCAGCATGGCATCTGCACCGGGTTCTCCGGCTAACGCACTGCCCACAGTGCTTAGCATTCGGACTATCAAGGAGCACTACTTTCCCGAGAACAAGAACTACCGGGTCTTCAGGTACAATTTCGCGCAAGTTTGATCCTCCATTCAGTTTACATTACAAGTCAAAAGGATGTTTCTTGTTCTTAGCCATATCAAAAAGATCACTGCGTGTTGATACTGCGTGTTGATACTGCGTGTTGATACTGCGTGTTGATACTGCGTGTTGATACTGCGTGTTGATACTGCGTGTTGATACTGCGTGTTGATACTGCGTGTTGATACTGCGTGTTGATACTGCGTGTTGATACTGCGTGTTGATACTGCGTGTTGATACTGCGTGTTGATACTGCGTGTTGATACTGCGTGTTGATACTGCGTGTTGATGTTTTCCTGGACGTATATCACTTACACTTGCTTTTGCGACCAAGGTGTGTGTGTGTGTGTGTGTGTGTGTGTGTGTGTGTGTGTGTGTGTGTGTTTGTGTGTGTGTGTGTGTGTGCGTGTGTGTGCGTGTGTGTGCGCGTGCACGCGTGTGTGTGTGTGTGTTTGTATGTCTGTATGTGTGCATACTGGTTACCCCAGCAAGTTTAGGGTGTGCATAGGTAACTGTCTTGGCCGTTGTATGTCGATGTCCTCCGTGTGGTGTAGACCAGGTGTGCATTGGTGGTCGATTCACATGGCTTCGCCAGTTGTGTGGATCAGACAGTAACCTGGCGCAAGTATTGATCTGTCTCATTCAGATCTTGTTCGCTATCGTTACGCATATACATGGTACATGGTACATGGTGTGTGTATGTGTATGTGCTACATACAGAATGGTACTGCTTGCTCAGCGAGCTCAAACACTTTCGTTTAACCTGCTGCTCTCAAATCGTGCAGCAGTGGTCCGTCTCGTGGTAAGGTCTGCACTGCCATGTTGCCCTAAGCATTTGAATTAGCTGAGTATGCTCGGAATTGAAGTGCTATTGCTGATGTGAATCTCGACAAATATGTGGCACCTTGAAGAAACATATACAGTTTACTTGCACATAATCTGCTGTAATCAAACAAGTTGGCCTTTTGTGGACAGGATCTCATTACCGTATTTTTCCGGTTGTAAGTCGACCTTTTACAACTAAAAATAGAAGGAGAAAGGGTGGGGTCGACTTACAACCGGGAGTCGACTTATAACCGGGAACTATCAGTATCTTACAAAAAATGACCTGCACTACATGCACGAGAGCACCATGTGTACACATTTTTGCCAGTTTATTGGCCTTTTCAAGGATTGGGAAGTTATACTCTCCAATAAGGAATATTTACATGATTTGTTGATGTGTTAGTAGCAGGGAGTGGTTAGTAGTGCTTCATTGGGTGAAAACTTTAAAACACAGAATTGAGACCTCCAGATATTGGGGTCGACCTATAACCAGGGTCGACTTACAACTGGTAAAATTCGGTACACACGAATCAGATGTATTGCTTTGTTCTAGCTCTTGGCTATTTCCAGTTTGCTGGCTTATCCACTTTCCGTTGTCGTTATTTCCTTTGTCTGCGGCGCTTGCCAAGCTCTATGATGGAGAAGAGGTGGTACGAGAAGTGATTGGCAGGAAAGGTGAAGCACAGATCAACCTGGTGTTGCTCGATGCCGTGCCGGTATTGGCTGCGGAGGCTGCAAGCATCGCTGCGGCAAATGCAGCTGCAGCCGAGCTGGAAAGTGAGTTCTACCCCAGTGTGGACACAGGCTACACAACAGGGCACTGTGCAGTTAGACCTCTGACCGTGCTCTGGCACTCAGTATACTGGCAGGTTTCTGCTGTGTTTTACGACGAATATCCACACGTACGAGTAAAGGCAATGCACATATCACACTGTGCACGTGTCTTTGCTCTTCCTTTCCAAGTAGCTTTTAGAGTGTGATACCAATTGTATTTCTTGAGAAATCCTTCCAGAATTAAAAGGTGCCGTATAAATGAGGTTACACTTTACTGATAATTATTATGATAATGTTGGCAACACGCCCCCCCCCCCCCTCCCCCCCCCTCTCTCTCTCTATCTACTATCTACTATCGCTTTCCCCTCCACTAATAATTATTATTGATTGTGCATGCACATCGAGCAAATTGAATGGAGTTTGTGAGTCATTGTTTTACTATGCAGGGTACACTGAAGAGCTGGATAACGTGTTGCTTATTTTCCTCTGTTGTCACAAACTTGCAGAGAGAAACCAAGTGCTGGCTGGTCTCGCTGAGGAAGGTGCTGGCACCGGATCGAAGAAGAAGGCAAGTCAGCACAAGATGCAATTTCTCCTGGTGCCTAACGTGCTTGGAGTCGGAGTTTGATACTACCGTCTCTATGCATTGCAACTGTGTGTATACTGCATACAGAGACAGGTCTTTCCAAGGCTGTTCTGATCAGGGGTGTCACCCGTGAGGGGCACGGGGGGCACGTGCACCCCCCTAAAAAATTCGACTTTGGTTTTTTGCGAACTCCTGGTTATGATGAAAAGTGTACTGCATGCATGCTGCGGCGGCGTGCTGGGTGTTTGTTTGAAACAGAAGAAATCAATACTTCTGTGTGGTCGCAAGTAAGTTAGTCAGGTCACCAGTCTCACCACACTTGAAGAGTCTTTGGAGCTGTTTCCTCTCAAAAATGTCGTCTTCTCGAAAAAGGAAAGCGTCTGGCCAGCTCACTATCAGCGAACTTTTTCGGAGAAATGCGAACCCAGAAGTGAGGCGAGGCGACGAAGCCATTACTGTTGCAGCTGGGCCAGAGGAATCGGACGATGAGGGACCTGACGAAGAACTGGCACGCAGCAATGCTGTTATGCTTCGGTATCGATTGCCCTTCTTTACACTGTCACCCATTTATGATTATGCACTAGCGCTGCAGTCGACCGCCATGAACTGCTCAAGCCATTTTTCGGCAAGACACCCCGAAGTCGAAGAATAGTGTCATACTCAATTTTCCTGTGCAAAATTCCTGTGCACCCCCCTGTGAAGGGGTCCGGTGACGCCCCTGCTGATCATATTTCGATTTGCTCTGCTTATGTGCTGTTTGACAGAATTGGTGAAAGTCAAGAAACTTGCTTGTGGCAAGAATGAGCTTACTTGGAGGAGGATGAATTTAAAATGTGTTGATTCCATTCTGTTACAGGGTGACAAAAGGGGCAAGGCTGCGAAGAGCGCTGTCGCAAAGAAGACGTCCAAAGTGGCGGATGTGAAGGGCGATGGTGCGCAGTCAGGCTCGGCTGACAATACCAGTAGTGCTGCTGGTACTTCGGAAACACCACCGTCGGAACAGGCCGAGCAGGCTGGGAATGCCGAGTCTGCTGCTGCTTCGACTGAGCCAGTGTCTCAGGAGTCCACTATGCCTTCTGTGTCCGAAACTCCGGATGTTTCTCTTGAAGATCAACAGAGCGGCGAAACAGCGAGCGATACACCTGATGCATTCGATGATTATAGTCAGGAGCAGACGACGGATGGATTCAATGAGAGGCCATTGTTAAATGACCGTCCCTTCAGAGCTGGAGAAGTAAGTGAGCAGCACTAATGGCAAAATGCTTAAAAGAAGATGGTCAAATCGGGATGCTAGCTTGGGGCTGGTGCCAATGGTTAACTCTTGCGGTGGGCAACGATATCAGCCCCGTTGCTTCACTGTAGAGCATACATGCAAGAAATCCTAGAAATGTGATTTTTTTGTACTTGCCTATATGACATCCAGTAATAGCCTGCACACTACATTGTTGCACACACCTGATTATGGCAACTTTGACGTCACAGATCATCTTATTTTGGCATGACTATTCATGGCAACAAGCTCGTGTATACAAATAAGCGGCAGCTTTTCAACTGCTTCCTCTTTGAAAGAAGCAGTTTTTATTGTGCGCTAATGACAAGCGTCAAATATTGCAAAACATGGCCTCTTGAAATGTCCTCCAATCATTCTAGGCCACCTTTCTGACGGGAGCAAGGCGAGAGAACCGACGCAAGGAGACGCGCTACTCAGCGCTGCTCAAGCAAGAGATTGACAACATGTTCCAAGAGTTCGACGAGCCACTACAGAGACCAGAGGTGAGTCAGGAATGCCACAAAGACACAGGAATCAGGGGCAAATCCAGGGGGTGGGGCTCTGGGAGTTCCGTGGAACCCCTAAATTTCGCTAATATACTACTCGGATGGAGAGCCAAGGATAAATTTATACAAAAGAAAAAAGGACCAAGGAAGTACAAGTTACGGTATAACGTCCACTAACACCACCAGTTACTAAACTATCAGCTCATGCGATAACATTGCACGACACTGACTGACGGTACTGACGTTCTACACCTAACTGGCAATCGGCTCTAGCACATCTTGGATGCGCACTCCAACAGCCTTCCAACTTGGAAGGTTCTAAGTTATATGGTAACATAGGAGGGGAAGGTGAGCGCAACCAAGACAAGCACGAGCTGAAAGTCTGAGCCAGTGTGAAGGACTTTGGGGGATGGACATACATGTCGATGATGATACTGGCAAGACCATTGGACAATACGGTCAAACTACAATTCAAGGACGCAAAGCAACATTCCACACACAACGTGTGAGGCTCAAAGATGCGAAGATCAATTAAGTTAAAGGGGAAGCTATGCGAACAAGAATCATGCAAAACAAGAATCGTGCAAAACAAGAATCGTGCAAAACAAGAATCATGCAAAACAAGAATCGTGCAAAACAAGAATCGTGCAAAACAAGAATCGTGCAAAACAAGAATCGTGCAAAACAAGAATCGTGCAAAACAAGAATCGTGCAAAACAAGAATCATGCAAAACAAGAATCGTGCAAAACAAGAATCGTGCAAAACAAGAATCATGCAAAACAAGAATCATGCAAAACAAGAATCATGCAAAACAAGAATCGTGCAAAACAAGAATCGTGCAAAACAAGAATCATGCAAAACAAGAATCGTGCAAAACAAGAATCGTGCAAAACAAGAATCGTGCAAAACAAGAATCGTGCAAAACAAGAATCATGCAAAACAAGAATCGTGCAAAACAAGAATCATGCAAAACAAGAATCGTGCAAAACAAGAATCATGCAAAACAAGAATCATGCAAAACAAGAATCATGCAAAACAAGAATCATGCAAAACAAGAATCGTGCAAAACAAGAATCGTGCAAAACAAGAATCGTGCAAAACAAGAATCGTGCAAAACAAGAATCATGCAAAACAAGAATCGTGCAAAACAAGAATCATGCAAAACAAGAATCGTGCAAAACAAGAATCATGCAAAACAAGAATCGTGCAAAACAAGAATCGTGCAAAACAAGAATCATGCAAAACAAGAATCGTGCAAAACAAGAATCGTGCAAAACAAGAATCGTGCAAAACAAGAATCGTGCAAAACAAGAATCATGCAAAACAAGAATCGTGCAAAACAAGAATCATGCAAAACAAGAATCCTGCAAAACAAGAATCATGCAAAACAAGAATCATGCAAAACAAGAATCATGCAAAACAAGAATCATGCAAAACAAGAATCGTGCAAAACAAGAATCATGCAAAACAAGAATCATGCAAAACAAGAATCGTGCAAAACAAGAATCATGCAAAACAAGAATCGTGCAAAACAAGAATCATGCAAAACAAGAATCATGCAAAACAAGAATCGTGCAAAACAAGAATCGTGCAAAACAAGAATCATGCAAAACAAGAATCATGCAAAACAAGAATCATGCAAAACAAGAATCATGCAAAACAAGAATCGTGCAAAACAAGAATCGTGCAAAACAAGAATCGTGCAAAACAAGAATCGTGCAAAACAAGAATCGTGCAAAACAAGAATCGTGCAAAACAAGAATCGTGCAAAACAAGAATCGTGCAAAACAAGAATCGTGCAAAACAAGAATCGTGCAAAACAAGAATCGTGCAAAACAAGAATCATGCAAAACAAGAATCATGCAAAACAAGAATCATGCAAAACAAGAATCGTGCAAAACAAGAATCGTGCAAAACAAGAATCGTGCAAAACAAGAATCGTGCAAAACAAGAATCGTGCAAAACAAGAATCGTGCAAAACAAGAATCGTGCAAAACAAGAATCATGCAAAACAAGAATCGTGCAAAACAAGAATCGTGCAAAACAAGAATCGTGCAAAACAAGAATCGTGCAAAACAAGAATCGTGCAAAACAAGAATCGTGCAAAACAAGAATCGTGCAAAACAAGAATCGTGCAAAACAAGAATCGTGCAAAACAAGAATCGTGCAAAACAAGAATCTTGCAAAACAAGAATCATGCAAAACAAGAATCGTGCAAAACAAGAATCATGCAAAACAAGAATCATGCAAAACAAGAATCATGCAAAACAAGAATCATGCAAAACAAGAATCGTGCAAAACAAGAATCATGCAAAACAAGAATCGTGCAAAACAAGAATCGTGCAAAACAAGAATCATGCAAAACAAGAATCGTGCAAAACAAGAATCATGCAAAACAAGAATCATGCAAAACAAGAATCATGCAAAACAAGAATCGTGCAAAACAAGAATCATGCAAAACAAGAATCGTGCAAAACAAGAATCATGCAAAACAAGAATCATGCAAAACAAGAATCATGCAAAACAAGAATCGTGCAAAACAAGAATCGTGCAAAACAAGAATCATGCAAAACAAGAATCATGCAAAACAAGAATCATGCAAAACAAGAATCGTGCAAAACAAGAATCGTGCAAAACAAGAATCATGCAAAACAAGAATCGTGCAAAACAAGAATCGTGCAAAACAAGAATCGTGCAAAACAAGAATCGTGCAAAACAAGAATCATGCAAAACAAGAATCGTGCAAAACAAGAATCATGCAAAACAAGAATCGTGCAAAACAAGAATCATGCAAAACAAGAATCATGCAAAACAAGAATCATGCAAAACAAGAATCATGCAAAACAAGAATCGTGCAAAACAAGAATCGTGCAAAACAAGAATCGTGCAAAACAAGAATCGTGCAAAACAAGAATCATGCAAAACAAGAATCGTGCAAAACAAGAATCATGCAAAACAAGAATCGTGCAAAACAAGAATCATGCAAAACAAGAATCGTGCAAAACAAGAATCATGCAAAACAAGAATCATGCAAAACAAGAATCGTGCAAAACAAGAATCGTGCAAAACAAGAATCGTGCAAAACAAGAATCGTGCAAAACAAGAATCGTGCAAAACAAGAATCGTGCAAAACAAGAATCGTGCAAAACAAGAATCGTGCAAAACAAGAATCGTGCAAAACAAGAATCATGCAAAACAAGAATCATGCAAAACAAGAATCATGCAAAACAAGAATCATGCAAAACAAGAATCGTGCAAAACAAGAATCATGCAAAACAAGAATCATGCAAAACAAGAATCGTGCAAAACAAGAATCGTGCAAAACAAGAATCATGCAAAACAAGAATCGTGCAAAACAAGAATCATGCAAAACAAGAATCATGCAAAACAAGAATCATGCAAAACAAGAATCGTGCAAAACAAGAATCATGCAAAACCGAAAGTCTCAGTAAAACAACACTGTACAGTAAAACCTGGTGTAAGCGACCTCTGGCAGTCTGGGTTTAGCCACCTCTGGGTTTAGCCACCACCTGCGACCCCCCCTGTCGAGATCTCTGGATCCGCCTCTGGGCTTCATGCATCGTGAGTCATGATAATCATGAATGGTTCCTTTCAAGTGTTGGAAAACAGTAACTACCACATCCCAGTTATCAGGAAGGGCATCCTGAGGTTTTAAAGGTCATATCGGCTGACTGAATAAACATTTTAAAATTGCTGTCAACAGAATGAGCTGAACCGACATTTCACAATAAAATAAATAAATTTCACGGTTCGCGTGAGTCTCGGCTGGAAGCAGAGTTTTCCGCATCCGCCGTGGGAACGCCACCACCCTCTAGGATCAAAGGCTTAGATGCAGCGCCTAAACGGTGGGAGGTGAGTAGATCAGACCCACCACCAAGTGGTCAAAGACCGAAATCCCATTAGCTGCATCCATGTTACCCTCGTGTCAAGCCACGAGTTCCCAATTAACTGTGGGTCGCAGCACGGCTGGAAAAATTCCTTCCGCTTCCAAGCAGGACTTGAACCTGGTTCCCTCTGTTTCTCAATCATGGTCTTAGACCATCCCACTATGCTTGCCTACGACATTTCACAAAGGCTTTGTGAAATGACGGTTCAGCTCGTTCTGTTGACAGCACTTCTAAAACTGTTGTCGCCTCGCCACCTCTTGAATTAACATTGGCTTTAACAATTAATCAATTATATTTTAGGATTGTCCAGCAAACTCTCGTACATATTATTTCTTCAGACACATCAGTACATACTGGAGGCACATATCCTCGGTAACTCATGGCCACTGGAGGAGAGTGCATGGCATGCCAGCTTCAACGTGCCGCATCCCACTGGCAAGAACCACGGCTCACTCGGTGCAGTCCAAGACTGTAAGTCAATTTAGATCAGTGAAGTCTGCGTACAGCAGCATATGGTCACGATGCACTCCCGTGTCTAGCAGCATACGTATGCTAAGCGGAACCTGATTTGCATGTTGTGTTTTAAGTTTTAACTGGAGTAATGTGGTTGTGTATGCTGTATGTATGCATGTGTGTAGCGTTTTCTACCTATTTACTGCCTGTCCACCCAGTGAATCCCAGCAGTGGCAAGAGCAGACCGCAATCATCGCGTGTTGGAGGAGAGGAACGTCGGCCTAGCGCGGCCAAGAAGAAGGGCGGCAAGAAGGAGTTGAGCCGGGCAAAGTCGGTGATGACCGCACAGGCCGGTGTGACCGGATCGCCAGATGCACCAAAGGTTAGTCCGCAGTTCCTCACCATCGTCATGCCGATATCCCTGCACTGCATTATCCTGGGTGCCGCTTACGGGCTTCCTAACCCCAGTCCACGGGCATGGAAAAAGGGTCCTTTAGTGCATTAGGCCAAATGCTGTCAATAGTGCATTCTGTAAGTCAACAAACAACAGTCAGTATCGCCTATAGCGTTGGTGTTTGATTTTGAGCATTATATCACTATAAGCGATATCACTATGACCGATACTGCATGCAATGTATGCGAGTGGGTGTCAAACGACTCAGGGCGCCGTGCACATACGCACTGCATAGCTGGCTACAGCTCATGTCACACAACATCAGCATTTCCTCACGAGGAGGCATATTTGGCAACTTGTACAAGCAGAACTTACCAAACAACACTGGACAAGTTAGTTCTTCACGAAGAAGTAACACCCTGTTCTTCTCTGACACCACTTGATTTTACATCAATCACTATAATCGATGCAAAAATAATGTAATAAAGGTCTTTCGAGGCGATATATTACTATAGACGATTATTACTATACGTGATAACTGTGTATACTTAGTTGTGGCAAATGAAAATTAAATTGAGAAATTGATCACTATATCCGGTATACTACTATAGCCAATTGAGAAATTGATCACTATATCCGGTATACTACTATAGCCGCCAACCTTATAGGTGATACGTACTGTAGTTATTTTCGACTTTTCGGCCTGGTCATATTTGGGTGAAAATTAGTTTTGCAAGGTTCAGTGTGACGGTGTATAGAGGAAGCAACAGTACAGGCCGAAAAAGTAATGCAGCCGAAATGTGTTTTAGCCCTGGGAGGCCGGAATTTGAATAGGCCGAACATTTGTGGACTTACAGTACAAGCAACACTGTCACCTGTCACCGTACCCGTCAAAATATGACTGCGCTTGTCCTAGTACAAGTATATGTTATGTGCATGTATGGACTGTCATTGTCTCTTATGGTATGAGCTGAAAACATTCACAGGTGCCCAAGGTCAAGATCACACCTCCCTCTGGAGGCAAAGACAAACAGCAGGCGCAGAATTCGGGTGGGTTACGCCAGCAGCAGGGTCGAAGGCGGCCAGGCGCGGCCAGCCAAAAACTCTCACCGGCAGTGATAGTTGAGCAAGCCTTAGTGGCGCTACAGGTACTGCAAACAATACGCATGTGCTACGCGTATGCCGGTTGGGTTCGTCGTTCCAGAGTTGTGTTGGATTTCATCAGCGGCCAAGTGCATTCGGAGATGAACGTGGTTGCTGAGTTTAAACCATCGTATTGAATCAGTTTTCCGTTCAAGTAGTTCTTGGATTTACAAGTAACAGCCTCAGAACATAAGACAGTGGTCAACACGTCCACCACCAGAGGGTGATCCGAGATTCCCACGTCCATGGAACGATCAAAGGCATCCACCACAAGGTTGAATCTCAACAACATACCCACATGCCTGTATCATAACTTATCTTCATGATACAAACATGTCACAGAGCTGAGCGGTATCATGCCACAGTTACAACAACATTCTCTGTCACACAGTATTTCTGTTGCTGGAGACAAGCATCATAATTATTGTGTTAAAAAAAAGACATTTCTATCTTCCATCTCCATTGCCATAGCACCCGGTGCAGCAAGTCTAACCATGGCCAGACCGTGCTTCAAAAAAGTTGACGTACCCACTTCCTGCACACCGGTGCATGCATATCCAACTGTTAAGAGTTGAAAGCCAGGCAGTACTGTACCTGGTATTGAAACAGTGTTCATTTCCAGTCAAGTATTATTCCATTAGGCCGGATTTCCTGAAGTCCTGGTGCTACGGCCCTGATCACAGCACATTCCTGACCATCCGACATGATGACATCACGACAGATATCCAGACATAGCCAATATGAGGAAGTTTGGGTGGTGAGCTAACCAAGCAAGCTTGATAAAGCAATTTAAGGAAAGAGAAGAAATTAGCGAGCAGATGGTTGCGTTGAGTTGTGTTTACATTTGCAACAGGCATTACTGTATCTCCATTAGCCTTCTCCTGCAGTGAGACATACACTCCTGCAGTGAGACATACACTCCTGCAGTGAGACATACACTCCTGCAGTGAGACATACACTCCTGCAGTGAGACATACACTCCTGCAGTGAGACATACACTCCTGCAGTGAGACATACACTCCTGCAGTGAGACATACACTCCTGCAGTGAGACATACACTCCTGCAGTGAGACATACACTCCTGCAGTGAGACATACACTCCTGCAGTGAGACATACACTCCTGCAGTGAGACATACACTCCTGCAGTGAGACATACACTCCTGCAGTGAGACATACACTCCTGCAGTGAGACATACACTCCTGCAGTGAGACATACACTCCTGCAGTGAGACATACACTCCTGCAGTGAGACATACACTCCTGCAGTGAGACATACACTCCTGCAGTGAGACATACACTCCTGCAGTGAGACATACACTCCTGCAGTGAGACATACACTCCTGCAGTGAGACATACACTCCTGCAGTGAGACATACACTCCTGCAGTGAGACATACACTCCTGCAGTGAGACATACACTCCTGCAGTGAGACATACAAACGGTATGCAAACTGCAGCACAGGAAACGACATCATGGTTTATTTCTCAGTTGAACATTGTTCGTGTTCTGTTGTTGATCGGGCTTGGTGTGCGTATCCAGGAAGAGGAAAGCCAAGACTTTTCTCATGTCGATGCAAGCAAACCGCACTGGACACTGAAGGTTGTCTACGATTCGTCGGCAAAGGTCAGTCTGCTGATATGCACATTGCAGTACCACCGAGCGGAGTGCTTGGGGACGATAAAGTGTCTCTGGACAACACGATACATGCCGTATACTCCTTCCACTGCTCCCAGCAAGGATCCTGTTTGCATGCAGTGTTGCTAGTAGTGTATTTTCCCAAGTATTTGTGTACGTGTGTATATTGTTACCTCGCTGCTCTTTGGCCGAGTCACAGGATGACATTGACATTCGTTACGACACGACCGAGGAGGATCGCAAGGCTCGCTGGATGGAGCGCATGGAGAGAGAACACCCTGGAAGATTTCAGAAGGTACAAGTAATTGCGTCACTTGTATAAGTAGGTGTTAAAATTGGGTAGCGTAGGGTGAATGGCTGTGCAGCACTGACATGTGCCTTTTCACTGTGTGTGCTTCGCTCTGGTATGTCACGTTCTGAGCAAAGTGGATGCCGATTGTTGCAGTGTGTCAGGCCCGCCGGAAGGCGGGCGAAGTTGGTCCGGTTTGAGGGGGTCCGGGGATGTCCCCGGACATTTTTTGAAAAATCCGGGCGGAAATAGCAGAATTGGGCCCGTTTACAAGTTTTCAGAGCCAACTACAGGGAATAATTTTGCATGGATATCAATGTACTATGTACATGTACATGTACGTGTACGGCCTACTATGGGTGAATGTACATAATAGACCGATCCCCTTATTATTGTCTGGGTTCGAGCAAGGGGGCAACTCCGCAGTCGCGTGGGATCCTGCTGCACACACGCGACCAACCTCACCTCGGCTTTGCGTGACTTCTCGCATGCGAAGTGCAGAGCACGCGAAATCTACACGCAGTGCAAGCCTGTCTACAAAAAATGCCACAAGGACTTTTGATTTGAGCTGTTTTGTTTTTGTTTAGACGTCTTCCTTTTTACGACTTCAGGATGCCTTCTCAGGATCATTGCTGCGTTCCTCACTGTCAGAACAGGAGGACGAAGCAAACAAGTCATTTCACTCCTTTCCTCGTGTGGAGCCACAGCGGCCTGGAGCAAGCGGATCCAGGCTATTCCCCGTGAGGAAGGACGTAGTTTTAGGGTCACTCTGAATATTTGAGTTGCAACGATCATTTCGATCCCGAAGTCCAAATCGTTTTGCCCAGCTCTACAAGGGCAGGATGAGTCCAGGAAACCAAGCAGCTGCCCTACGGTACCAGGTTTGCTTTTCGCAAGAGAGTGGAGTCTGGACGCTCTGCTCCCCATGCTCGCAAAACAGTATTTGCTGAGCCTAGTGCAGTTCGGTCATGGAAGTGCAGCGTCTGCATCACGAGCTCCCCATGCTCGCAAACCAGTATTTTGCTGAGAGGCAACGGCATTTTGAGTTGGAAAGGAACCTGGCTTAGTGCAGTTTGGTCCTGTAATGGAAGTGCAGCATCTGCATCAGGAGTTGGCAGCAAGTAGAGCTCGTGTACAGAGTTTCGCGGAGCAGTTGGACGATGGGGTGAAGAAAGCCGAAAAACAGCTTACGTACAATAACATAAAGAAAGACTCTGAGCCGCCCCAGTTTCTGACTGGTTTGCCTTCAGGTGTTTGGACCGCTCTGTGGGACTTCTTTGAGCCTAGCCGAGAAAATGTACTGCGCCGAGCCAGATCTGCGAAGACGGAAGCTGAGGGACGGCGGATACAGTTGGAGGTGGCCGTAAATCGCCAATGAGCATGTAATGGAGGATCAGCTGCTATTGGCATTGATGTGTCTAAGCCTGGGCCGGATGGAACAGAAGCTGTAATGCGTGGCACAAGTTAATCATCCGTTTCACGGTATATACTATATAGCTAGCTGAGCTGGAAAGATGTCTTGTTCCTCCGTTTGGGCATGATCCCCATTTGGGCGAGCTGGCGAGATGTTCAGTCATTAATGCCATGTACCGCAAGACATTCTGCATTGTGGATGAAACAGTTCTATTTTGCCATGCACTTAGGGTTCTCGCACCGGCACAACAAGACCCAACAGATCCTTGCGCTCTTATTTTCTCCCATGGTAACATTGCTGATCACAACACCCGGTAGCCAGTCGCAGATGCAACCAAATCAACCAGGTTCTCTTACTCTTTTTTTCCAATACTGAAACCAAAGGTATACCAATATTTGCATCGAATGCAGTGATGATTTCAATACTGTCCACTAGTACAACGCATTACCAGACTGGCATATAATCATGATAATATTATCCATTTCGCAATCTCTGTCATTGCTTTCTTAGATCTTCAATCATCAATATCGGACCATAAACCGTCTATTATCTTCTATTATATCATCATTAGTATCCTGCTACTATCCTCCTCTAACGATGAGCTCGAAGAAAGAAACAGCGGTCTAGAGGCGTAAACAATATCTGTCAACGGAAGTGTCCTTGCTGTGCTGGTGTGTTTATGCTTCGTGCATTAGTTCGGCCAAGACCGCATGGTGGTGGCGGGTTGAGGATGTTAAATATACTAGAAAATAGTTCACTCTGAACATGTAGGGGGGGTATATTCATAGGTTCGAAAGAACCGCACACACACTTTGCTGCAGACAGCGGCAAGCTTTGGCCCTCGTGCTTCGAAGAGGGAGCAATCCACTGCGCTACGCTTGCGATTAACAGCAAGCTTCGACTTTTCAAAGGTACGACTCATCATTGGCTCTGGGGTAATGTTCCTGGAACAAATGCCACATAGCCAACTGAGGGCCAGGGAGCACGCAATCTGCCTTCCTGGGCGAGAAGTGTTCCAGCACAAGAAGCAGCACGAATACATGCTGACAAAGACCACCATCACCACCAGCCGGCACACAGCACACTGTTCTTCAAACACCATCCACTCCATCCATGTGTTTGCACTGTCCTCCTCTAGCTCTTCACGCTCAACAAATACCACGCACTGTTCATCGTTTTTTTATGCTTCCTCTGGGTTGGCTAGCCTTCGACTTGACAAAACAGCGATCACCACTGCACTGCTATCGTCACCTCATAGCAGTCGCTTCCACCAGTGGCTTTTCCTGTCTTTGCAAGGTGTCCAAGGATGGCTGCTGTTGTCACTACAGGCAAATCAGAAGTACTTTAGTGGCTGATGTCCAACCAGATCGTTGGAAAATCGATTTTTCCACTTCAGGGCTGCTGATCGCGACTTGGTGACTTGGCAGCACCACGGTTACCTTCATAGAAGATGGCTCTGGAGAGGAAAAGACAGACCAGAAAAAGGTTACTATTATCTTCAGCACCGATCGCAAGGAGAAAGAAATATGGTCTGCTGTAGCCTAGGCACAAAATAAATCATCACAACACGATTCGCGATTCGAATATTTCAACAACAAAAAAACTCACCTCTGGAGTAACTCCTGTTTGTGGCCCGAGATCGTTCCCTCCCGCGCCTTGAAAAAATCCTGCAGCGGCATCACAGTCCATGTCTCTCTCGGAGACTCTGCTCCTACCAGCAGGAGGTTTAGCACCGCTCGAAGCCATCGCAAACTACTTGAACTATTCAGCAGAAGACATTCCAAAACAAACCTGAAACACACTGTCAAAGATGCTGTCACGTTCAAAAACTAGCTCGATCGCGAGTGAGGTTGCCCCCGTGCTCGAACCCAGTATAATAAGGGGATCGGTCTATTATGTACATGAATATGTATGCATGATCGATAATACAATGTCATGTACAGATGTACCCAGAATTTTTCTCCCTGGTTTTAGACGAATCCCAGGGGGTGACCTGAGCCAGAATTGGTCCGGTGACAACCGGACCGGTTCCGGTGGCCCTGTATGCGGTATGCGTATTTGCTTCAAACTTTCCCGAACTCTCTTTCTTGCGCCTGTCTCCCCTCCCTGACCCCCCCCCCCCTTCAGTCATCCACCTACCCCCCCCCCGCCCCCCCCTTCTCTCTATCCAACCCTACCTCTACTCTCTCTGTTTCTCTGTCTCTCTGTCTCTCTCTCTCTTTCTCTCTCTCTCCCTCCCTCCCTCCCTCCCTCACACACTCACTCACATTAACCCTCCACCTGCCCTCCCCTCATCTCTCTCTCTCCAACCCATCCTCCCAGTCACTCCTTTCCAACTGCCTATCGTCTGTGTTTGCATTCCCTGCCTTTCCTAATATAATATCCAGGGTGAAGAGCTTCGAGATCGATGGATCCGTGAGCGCATCAGTGCCCCCTCTACAAGTGTGGATGATGGTGAGATACATGTTCTTGAAGTACTTCTCAGCACAAATACAGTGGACAGAGCTGCCTGGGGGACAGACTGCTCCATCTTTTATCTCGTTTATGGTACAACTTACTACAAGAGTAATTGTGCCCTACATGACTTTGTTAGACCAAGTATTTCCGTAAGCAGTTCATATGCATGTGTAGAGTAAAACATGCCCTAACTCTAATCCTAACCCTAACTAATCCTAACCCTAACTAGCCCTAACCCTAACTAGCCCTAACCCTAACTAACCCTAACCCTAACTAACCCTAGCCCTAACTAGCCCTAACCCTAACTAGCCCTAACCCTAACTAACCCTAACCCTAACTAACCCTAACCCTAACTAGCCCTAACCCTAACCCTAACTAGCCCTAACCCTAACTAACCCTTAGTGCAGTGGAAACTGTCCTAACATGACAGGATTCCGCTTGATCCAGGGATGCAGGTTCGATCCACAGCACATCAGTGCATGATATTTTGTCCGGTCAATATAGGATTCCGCTTGGCACAGGGTCCGGCAAGCACCGCTTTACTGTACTTGAAAAAGAGCGGAGTCCATGTACTTCGAATGTTCTTTTTCCCGTTTCCGGAACTGCAACTGCCGATTATCACCACCTTCATCACTGCTGCCGCACCTGTCAGGCTGTCACCATGGTCACTGTCTACACTCCCCAGAAACACACCTGGCCATTCTAGAGACACCCATTTGTATTCTGTTGCTGCAGCATCTGCAGAGTCTGGTCGCTATGGAGACCCGCTATGGGGTGCGCCTGGTCATGATACTGCTTGCATTCCAGAGCCCGACATCTCTCCCTACATCAGGTATGTTGTACATGCATAGCTCCGTGCATGTCCGTGCGTAACCATACAGATCTGTGTGTATGGGTGTACCGTTCTCAGTCTGCTAAAACACAATACAGTAGAGTGCCGATTATCCGCACGCCTGGGGGCACGGGGCTGTCTCCACGCTCAGTACGTGTGCCCGGCATTTGAAAATCCCGATGAAATCATTCGCATAACCTATACAGACTGGGTGCACGAAGATGATGATGATCATGGTGATGATGGTGATGAAGTGCACACAGTTGTTACATCTGTATTTACCGTTTTATATCCGTACTTCACATCGTGTTTATAATGTACTTGTGTGCCTTGCACCACTGTCCTACACAGGAGATCTCCCGCAACGGAGACCGTATTCTGGACAAAGGCGCACGAAGAAGAGATCCGGCAGGAGCGTTGGTCATCACTGAATCCACTTCGTCAAGACGTGGAGTCCCTGGAAAGCATGTTGCCCTATGGCCTCAGAGCCAAGGAGAGGATCAAGTTAGAGCAGCGGCGGGAGCTAAATGACCTCTTTGTAAGTCGACTCTTGAACGAGAACTGGATCGCGAATTAGCAATGCTATCGTGCAGAAGCCCACTCTCAGCTTACCGTACTAGCTGGAAACATTCAGTACTTCAACTGCACTGCACTGCACATAATGAAAGTCAGTTGTCTTTCCTCGTACTATGCAGCAGCAGCTTGACGTGTGCCTAGCCTGTCACTGAGCCCATAGAGCCATTTCCAGCCGCCGGCCCCAGTCAGCCGAAGGGTACTAGTAGCGAGATACTGCGGATGTTATTTCTTATCTGTGTACCACTTACGAGTTCTTGATCTGCATGTCTGTCTGCCCATCCGTCTCTCTGTCTCTCTGTGTGTCTCTGTCTGTCTCACACACACACACACACACACACACACACACACACACACACACGCACTCTCTCTCTCTCTCTCTCTTCTCTCTCTCTCTCTCTTCTCTCTCTCTCTCTCTCTCTCTCTCTCTCTGTGGATTGCATTGTACACTTCCAGGGAGGTTTCCAGGACATGCTGGACAAGTACGACGAGGCGCGAGACAAGCACTTTGTGTCCAAGGGCTACTACAGTCTGAAAGTGGAAAAGCCACCAGAGCCAGCCGAGTCACCAGCACCACCAGCAGCAGACAAGAAGGGCAAGGCAAAGGACACCAAGAAGGCGGCTGGCAAGGGCAAGAAGAAATAGACACACTCATCACACGGACGCAGCATGGCACGCCTTCAGTGCATCATCCATTGGAATTGTCGAAGCTACACACCTGTGCTCGCGAATGCCATTAGCATCTGTGCCTCAGAAGACACCATAATTAGCTGCACGCTTTGCCAACATCATACTAGCTGCATGCTTTACCTCAGAAGACATCGAGGGACCTTTAATAGCAGGCACTATGCATGTATGCATGTGTTGTTGAGAAGTGGATTATTTATGACTAGCAAGTGATCAGTCGCGCCAGCACCCCAATCCCACCCAGCCTGGCATGCACAGACACCACAGGACGAGGCTTACGTGTGGTAATGACTCGTTTCTTGTTCCGTTCAAGACAACAGCAATCTTCCAGAGCTGAAAGAAGTACTTGAACAAATAAAAAGAAAAAGAAAAAAACTGCATGCACGTGTACTTGGAAAGTAGCCAGTAGGCAATGCAGGCAATGCAGGTACATGACAGGAGGAGCAATGGGATGTACAAAGTACAGTGAGCATCCTTAGTAATATCATTATCAGTATTATTAGTATTGTTTGAACTTCAGATTTTGATACCAGTGAGATATCAACTCAATCAAAACACGAAAGCATTCGTCCAGGATGCACAGGTGATGCAGTTCTTGCGTGCTCACTGCAAGTCAACTGCTACGAGAATCGGCCTACGGGGTCTGCTAAGAAAATTAATGTCATGACGTGGCAATAGATGTGAAGGAAGAACACACACACGCATGCACGCACACACACACACACACACACCCGAGAGTACACGGGATGAGTGACAGTACCGGGGACATGTAGCGAATGAATACCTACAACAGAACAATCTGCTCGCACACCTAGTGTATACAAGAAGTTTGAAAGCCTAGAAAACAAATTTGGCAACGGCTAAAAGACGGTCTAAAGCAGCACCACCAAGAGTGCAAAAAGTCATCCTGACACGTTATGATGGGAACTTCAAGAAATGGCATTGCTACACTCGGCAGTTTGCTCGCTATATTAAGTCGTCTTCTTCATCATCATCATCAGCAGCAGCAGCATGACCAACATGCAGCAAGGCAGGTAGCACGGGCACTTGGCCAGACTTAGCATAAGCAGCAGTAGCAGGATCAAAGAGGTCTGTTCTGGCATTGAAGTGGTCAGCAGCACTAGCAGCACTATCAGCATCACTATCATCAGCAGCAGCGTCATCAGGAGAATGGGGTATAAAACCGTACCCATCATTACCATCAAACGTTCTTTGCTCACTTGATACCTGGTAGTCCTCCTCGCAGTCGGATTGAGACGACGAGTCGTCAAACACTTCAATGCCCGGTGGTGCAGCACCGCCATAATCATCACGTCCATGCTCCAAGTCATCACTGGTAGATGCACGTTGTGGACGAGTAGAATCACCAGTGCTGTTGTTGGCATGACTGGCGTCTGCAGCCATAGCCGGCAATGGCGATGGCAGAGCTCCTGCAGCCACAGCCGCATCAGTAGTACTGGCAGCAGTAGAGATGGCGGAGGAGGCCATAGTGTGACCAGCTGCCACGCCAGTTGGCACACCAGCAGAAACGTGATGAGCAGTTCCATTGACAGTGGTAGCGGCGGCAGTAATAGATTGACTGCTGCACTCACTGGGTGCACTGTGATCATCTGCAACAACTGAATTCGCTGTTGGAGTAGCGATGGTGGCAACAGGGCTAACGTCACCGGTCGATTCCTGTACGTACAGAGCAGAGCTCTTGGCCAATGCGGCAGGAGCCACAGGAGATGCAGAAGACCCTGGTGACTCTGCTACTGCTTCTAGCACCGTCATGACTGCTGCAGCCGCAGATGCCTTGGCAGCTGCATCCGCTACACCGCTCTCGATCTTCTCTTCAGCCTCTGCCAGCTGCTGCTTGGTCTGGCGTAGCTGATCTTGTAGCTTCATGATGGTCGATTGCATGCCTTCTAGTTCCTCGTCTAGTTGCAGGATAAATGTCTGCATTTCTGCAAAAAATAAACCGACAGCAGCAAACACACTCCTTGACAGGGCTTCCTACTCAGAACACATACGTCATTTACACCACTCTTACACCCCTGCATACAAACCAATCTCCAATCACACATGCACACCATAGACCATACACAATACACCAGCACCCACACACACGCTCTGTCTGTCTCTCTCTCTGTCTCTGTCTCTCTCTGTCTGTCTCTCTCTGTGTCTTTCTGTCTCTCTCGGTCTCTCGGTCTCTCTCTCTCTCTCTCTCGGTCTCTCTCTCTCTCTCTCTCTCTCTCTCTCTCTCTCTCTCCCACATACATAGACACGCACGCACCCCCACACCAACAGAATCACACACGTTCATTCACGACACCACCAGAAGCACAAGACACAAGGAGAGAGCGTACCATCCTGACTCGACTTGAGCTCGTCGCTGTAGGTTTTCTGCAGTGCGAGTTCAGCCTCCAACTGTGCTATTCGACCTTGTGACAGCTGTTTGCCAAGCTCCTGATTCTCTTGGATGAGACTACGACACTTAGCCATGAGCTTGCGACCGGCCACGCTGCAGTCCAAGCATTTCAAACAGAATATCTTTTCAACCCACTGCAGTAGTCAGAATCGGATGGACCAGTGATTGCAAATGTCCCTATTGCATGCATTCTGGTGCTGTTTAGCTGCCAGCAGGCAGCCATCAACAGTAGCGTCAATAGGACACTGCTATATAGGGGAATCACACATGACACATACCTAAAATAAATAACATATTAGCAGCATATTATCAAGAAATCTGTGTAGGGGTGAATGACTCAATAGCCCAACAGTTCATAGACAGCTTTATTTACGTGTGTAGGCGCCATTGTGGCCAGGTGAAGCTCGCTAAAATTACCACCACAGCATTGGTCTTTGCTTCATAAGTGACAGTATGCTAGTATTTGAAACAGAACACGTTTCAACACAATCCCCTCCCCCTTAGCTCTCAGAAAAGTCAAACCCAATAGCTCAGCAAAAGTAACCCGGGACACGGGACAGATGCTGTCTGAACGTAAAATGTCTACGTACCTGTCGGGAGTAAATTTCCAGGCACTCATGTCATCCTGCGCCTGACTCAACTTCTCTTTCGTTTCGTTTAGTTCGGCTGTCAAGCGCTGGAAGAGCAGGTTGACTGCAGGGTCGAGCAATGCCGAGCGCAGTTGTTGTACGGACGGTAGCTGTGAGGCCTTCAGTTCGTGGATTTGCGGCTGCAATAACAAGAGAAAATCGTATGAATTGAATGCGCATGCATAAACGTATACATGTAGGCACAGAATTAGGTGAACTACAGTCCATTTCAAAACTATAGACGCGTACCTAGGCAAAAACCGTTATGCCAGCATCTATACCACATAAAATCTGTGATAACTTTGTGCATAAATTTTTCCAAATTGGGCGTCTGTTATCCAATCGTTTAGAAACTATAATTATGAGAGTAATTGTGGAGCGGTCCTGAGCAATATTCCGAAAACTATTCTCAAAAAGTTCCAACCAAATTTGAAATATTTCAAAAACCCTATGCGTCTATAGTTTTGAAATGGACTGTACATCTATACACACAAATTTGTGACACCATGCAACAAAAGCACAAGGTTCGTAATTCGTCAAACGCTTTTCAATCCATTCTACTCAGTGTGGTGAATGCTTCTATGTACATACACATCATTTTAGAGGTTATATGCAGCTACATCTCTTGCTGAGAAGCTTGAGCAAAGTCGCGACACAGCGATGCACAAGCGACTTGCGCCGTATACATCACACTGTATACATCGTGCCCATATGCGGTTCCGCTGACTTATCGCCATGACAACATTCGCACAACCTCTATAGTGTACCAGACCAATAACATACGGTCATGGCAAGTGGACCACGCACCCACACACATCTGTACGCGCGCGCCTACACACATCCGTACGCGCGCGCGCGTACCCACACACATCCGTACGCGCGCGCACACACACGCACGCGTGCCCACTCACACATCCGCACACATACTTACAAGCAACTCCTGAATTTCTTGCTCTTTGGCTGCCAGTCTCATAACCAGCACACTCTCACGCCGTGTAGGGTCCTGCTGCAGCTGCGGACAGCCAGCTTTTCCAAGCACATCATGTGACGTATCTTCAACATTGCTTTCTTGATCGCCATCCATCTTTTCTGAGGATGTAGTCCTTGAAGTCTTCATCTAGTTTTATCAATAGCAAAAGATGAATATACGTGGAAAGAAAGTTAGTTTGTGAAAATGTTTCCTCGCACAATCACTAGCCGTCCATCCTTACATAGAAATCAATCAGTCAATCAAACTACAGTGTAGTATAGTACTGTTTTGCAATTAGGATTAGCAGACTGAGGCAGTGAGGGTACTGTGACGTTACTAATCGAGATGGCATACCAGCACAGTTGCTACACTTACCCGTTTCGCAGGGGGTTCGTCACTGGACACCCGCTCATCGCCTGAAGATAAGCACAAGTAGAGAAGTTCGAAAGCAGAGAGACGTGCATTTTACTTTCTCTGTCTGTGAAGATTACGTTGGATAATCACTGCACACTGAATAGTGAACATAGCAGGAAAAATACGATACCAAGCGCAGGATCTCACTTTTTTCCGCCATCACGTCTATCTTCTTCACGGATAATCTATTCCTCAAGTTCACCAACTGTACAATTGCCTACAAGTAGCAAACTAAGATCAAGAAATGAAGAAGGAAGCCAGAAATCACTTCAATACGAGCTTCGAGGATACGCTTTGACCGCACAAAAAATCAAAAAATTGCTTTTCACTTTTGAGTTTGTCTATTTTTTCATCCCCAGCTTTCACCCATTTCGCGAGGCAATATTTTCGTCAATGGTTGCCATGGACACGTAATGGTATGCATGTCAACACGAGTGCATGCGACGAGTGCGAGCATCACAAACATCTTCGAATAGAAGGTCTTCGTCACCTGGTCACCAGGCCAGGCCTGCTGTAGTGACCTGGTTCATGTACATGTACTGGTAGTCTTGTGTGTGTGGTCTGAAGACTGAAGAATGAGTGAGGCAAATAAAACGGGACTTCTGGCACAGTTTTCAGCTTGAGCAACTCAGTCAAGGCCAAGGGACACTTCTGTCTTCAGCTGACTTTTTTTCTGCATCAAATTGGCTCAGAGGATGTAGACTTTACAGTGTCAGTGGGCGTCCACAGCAGAATGAAGACTTCAAGATTACATTGTAGTGCCCACAGTCCTGCTTGCCGCGGTGACAGCTAACGCACTCGACACTGTCTAGACTAGAGTATTATAGCCCGACAGTCGACCCAAGCAGCAGGGCCCAGCTATCTGCAAGTAGGCCAGGAATAGAGAGGTCAACTCTCCTATCCGGAGCATACCACCACGGCACCAGGTCACACAGCCACCATTCAGTTTTATTATTTTTGCCTTGGCACCCGCGTCTACACAGCAGCATCGGCATTGCAGGGCTAGCTGCCAGGCCAGGGCTGGCGGAGGAATGCACAACCGGTCGTGCGCTGGAAGCCGCTGACCAGCTGCAAGCGCAAGCTACATGTACGTACACAGTCAGTCCTTGCTCAATGGCAATGCGTTGCACGGCTCAGCTAGCCGCTGTCAATAATGTTTTGTGTTTTTCAAATAATGACATGAGCTACATGTGTATGTATTGCCTTGGCACGCATTCGAGTACTACGCGTATGCGGCGGTTGCAAGATAAGTCCTTTCATTGCGGCTAGCAGCAGCAAGATTTGTTTGCTGTGACTGTGGTTTCTGCCAGTACATGCAGTGGGTCGCCCTGAGCGCTCCTGAGACTTCAGACAACGCTACTGGGCAGCCTATAGCGGCCGGAGTACGCCATTGCATGGTTGTCCTGCCCTGTGTCTGCTGAGGGAAAGAAGTCCGAGTCAAAGAACCAGCAACCAACAATGCACCATTACTGGCATTAGCCACTGGTCACAGAACTGAGGTAGTGCATGCCGGGAAGGTGGTGTTCGACGTCACAGTGGTGGGACTGTAACACAAACAACGCCAGCAGTTGAACGTGAGGCGCAAGAACCACGCCGAGCATTGGAAACATGGCGGCAGCACCATCACAAGGCGAGGCCATTCAGCTGCACTTTCCGTCAACCCATCGCAGTGACTTGATGATCGAAGACCAGGTATGGGTACATGAGAATGCTCATTTGTTTTGCCAGAGTAGGTACAGGTGCAGGTGCAGGTCAGTATACAAAATGCCAACTAAAATCAGTACATGTGTACCATGGTATTATACCTTTGGCACATCCATTTTACAAAAAGAGAAAGGAAGGCTTTGTCAGAGAGGGAATGTCAGTGGAGCTATAGCACATAGTCTTGCAAAAGAAGAATCCACGAGCGGGATTCGAACCCAGCACCCCTGTCTTTCCGGGACGGTGCCCTATCGATTAGGCTACAGTACAGGGGTCACACACACACCTGTTTTAAGCCTAGTTCACATTCGACGCAACGCCGACGGTACGGGACGTAAGGGCTTGTCAGGAGGGCTGGGGCGAGCTGTAAAATCCTGTACGATTCGTACGACACGACGTGCAGCAGTCGTTGCGACGTTCAACGTCGAACGGCGCGAGTCATAAGGCACGGTCCGTGACGGGGTGACTTTCGGACCTAATTTCTCGTTTTTCGGGACTTCTTTTCAATTATTTCTCCTTGAAAGAAGCGGAATCAAGTTCACAATAACAGTTTTTCATGAAGACCAAAAATTTAGCCCTGAAAGTTGTGGCATTCAAATAATAGCCCCAAGAAATGATAGAATAGTTCGTCTGTCGCGCTTCTGAACTACCCCTAAATACAATACCGTATTATCTCTAATATAAGCACAGTCTCCAATAATAGCACGTCTCCAATAATAGAACATCTTGGGGTGGCATTCAAAAAATAAAGTGCTCAGTCTCCATTATAAGCACACTGTGTAAATTTATTATCTGTACCGGCGAAAAAACCCTGAAATGTGTGTGTATGACATATAAATTTGGCATGGCAACATGCCTCTGAAATGAGGTTGAAATAATAATGGAACAGTCTCCAATAAAGGAACATCTCCAATAATAGCACGGGGCGGAGGTACATTGAAAAAATAAAGGACCGTGCTTATATCAGAGATAATACGGTAAGTGACATGAGATCTTATGTTGCTAAAATTCAACTCAAGTCGTGCTAGCCATTCTGTGAGTTATCATGGGAAGCGCAGTGTTCGACATGCTAAAAATCTCCAAGTACGAATCGGGAGTAGTCGGCGCACGACGCCGTCTCCTGTTCACACTCGAATTGCAGCCGTTTTGTACGTTTGCGTCCCCGTCTACGGTATGAAAGTTGGATCGATCCAACTCTTCCCGTCGCTTCCCGATCTGTACGGTAACACGATTGCGTTCCCGTTCCTGGTGTTCACATTGGACGCCGTCAGACCGTCCCGTCGCTTCCCGTCGATCCTTACGTCGCGCCCCGTCGAATGTGAACTAGGCTTGACTACTTCTTGCTACACTACTCCCCCGCCCCAACAGGCTGTGTCCTCGTGCTGTACTCACGGGGCCCGAGGAGGGCGGGGGGTACAATAGGTCGTGGGTTCGAGCCATTGCCAGGCGCCAATGTTGCAAAAGAAGGATCCACGAGCAGGATTCGAACCCAGAACCCCTGTCTTTCCGGGACAGTGCCCTACCGATTAGGCTACCGGGGATCACTGTCTGTCTGTCTGTTTGTTTACTTTGATGTCTGCCTGTCTGTCTGCCTGTCTGATGCCTGTCTGTACGTTTGTTTGTAGGTGTCCAAAGTTCAGGATGCCCAGTCTAGTCTGCTTGAAGCCATGATCAGCCTTCAGGAAGCCAAGGACGAGGTACACACTATCACTCTAGTGTAATCTCCCAGTACAGTGCTGATCAATGAAATCCAATCTCTTCACTCAAGTTTGCGCCTTGCACCATTTCGCAGCCCGGTCTTTGCTGGTCTAGGGCTGTGGAATGCCCGGCGCGTACTTGAGTGATGGCGACTGGATTTCATTGAGCAGCACTGTACATGAGACAGTGCCGGCAGTATTCGGTCTGATTCAACTCGGTGCACACTCAGTCCACCGTCAGTCCATACTCGGGACAGCTATTGTTGTGCATGTTGCTGTAATTTGTCCTGGGAAAGCAGGGTTATAGCAGCATAGTGTGGTCCCCCCCCCCCTCTCTTTCGAGTTGCCAACCTCCCCCCCCCCCATCAAAATCAAAATTGTCACTGTGCAAAGTCAATGCATGGTAAGACTTATCAACTCCCTTGTTTACCCAGTATAGGATGTATGACATGATGCATGACATGATGCATGACATGATGTATGACATGATGCATGACATGATGCATGAAGGCACTGAATCGTATCAGTGTACTGTACTGGTTCCTTCAAGCTACAGTTGAGCTAACCCCCACACTATGCACAGACTTTCCCAGCCGCCTGGCCATCAGGTTACAACCATGGAAACGGTCCTTTTTTTTTACATACTCATTTGCCGTCTTTGTTTCTTCATGGTATGTGGCATATTTTGTTTTGGTTCAGTTCTGGTGATATTGAAAGAATATGCTGCATGGTGCAAACTGGGTAGAAGAAGCGGAACTATGAACATGAGCACACAGAACCTTGCCATGTCGTTGCTTTCTGCATACAATGGTCTGTTTCAGGAGGATCGTGAGTCGTACATGAATCAAGTGCAAGCCCTGCACAAGCGCTGCAATGAAATGCTGGTTCGGCTACAGGCAAGTTTCACTAAGTGGTAAATTTGAAATACAGTGGAACCTGAGTAATGCAGACGTCAGGGGAGTAGCCCAAACTTTCCCCGGCAGTTTCAAAGATCAAGAAGATATTACTGCCGAAGTTGCAACATCTTAGTTCATTTCAGTGGTGTCAATGCCGGCCCAGAGTCGGTATATAAGAGGAGTCTTTTAGGACCGGTTCTGCTATGGTGTCTGTGTATGAATGTCGGTGTATGGTTGTTGTTGCTCTTGCTCATCTCCTGAGCGAGATGCCTGCAAATGCTGCGGGATAGTGAATACTAAATAGTGATACACATGTATGGTTTCCTTTGCCTGATCCGCTGCAGGTTATGATCAAGGTGCGTACAGAGCTTGGATTCTCGAAGTTGGAACTGGAGGAAGCGAGGAAAACTGGAACGAACGTAAGCCCTCTGGGTTCTGGCAAGATCAGTCACAGTGTCCCTGCTGGATTGGCTGGTGCATTTACATCTACGCGGGGGGGATTGTACTGTTCAGCAGATAACTTGACACAGGGGACTGCAAAGTCACACCACATGGGTTATGCTCCCGGCCTGCCGTTTTCCAGCCGCCCTTGGGGCAGGGCCGGTTTGTGCATGCTCACAAACTAATGACATCAGTGGACCCGGAAGGCGGCAGTCGCAATTTGAAAATGCATGACGTCGTTGATGGGTGTACTGCTACATGTATCAACAGTGGCTGTGGTGCGTGTATGGACATCCGTATGTTTCATCACGTGTTGATCCCCATGCATTCTCTTTGCAGGTGCGTGCCTGTCAGAAACGTGTCAGCTGGCTAGAGGAACGCCTGGACAAGCTGCTGGTAGCGCGGCAGCACCGCGGTCGACAGAAGACCCGCCGTCTGCGTCACCTTGGGGTGAGAACTGCTGCTAGTTTGAATTATCCCCCCCCCCCCCCCACACACACTCTCTCTCTCTCTCTCTCTCTCTCTCTCTCTCTCTCTCTCTCTTCTGCTCTTGATCACACCATGCAGGGGCGTCAGACACGCTACGGTCACTACGGTATTGACCACACCACTCTTTGTCCCAGGCACAATAAAGGCACTGATTTAGACTCTACACTTCGAAAATTTTCAGAGAAGTCTGAAATATACTGTACTTCAAGTGGCTGACAGTACCACCCAAAAATACTTTCCGGCGCACCTGCCATGCCAAAATGACATGCACCATGAGAATTTTGGATTGGCACCAAGGGTAATGGACACCCATATCCTGGTATATATTTTTATTTACTTCATCTAATGCCGATCAAAGGCAGACGTAGACTGTTCAACTCAAAATGCCATTTTCTAGCATGCACAATAGGAAAATGGTTGCTGTTTCATGGTAACTCATCCGAATCTCTTCAAAATTTGAACGCAGATCCCATATGCCCACCACTGTCGCTCAAGAAGGTCAGGAATGTGAACTGGATCCCATGAACGAGACAGTGGTACAACTATTCAGCGAGAGTGTAGAAAGATACGGTCCAACATTTTTGGTCCAGCCGATAACAACAACATGAATTGACAGATAGGCACTTGTAAACTCTCAACAGGTCACCCTTGATAGAATAACGTTCCCAAACCTCCAAAATCAGGTATTGTAATAGCACACGGCAAATTGCAGCAATGAAAGAACCCTCCGGTGAAATGCAATGTTTTGCAGGGCTCATATGTTGCCAAGGAAAAGGAATCCCAAATACACGGGAGGTTGAGGAACTACGGCTGAGAAATGTAAATGCGAAACAGCATGAAGACTGTCTATCTACTGTCAACTGTTCTTGAGATATGCTGCCTTGAAGTGCCGGAAGTAGCTCAAAATAGGAGAAAAGGCACTCCAAATAGACCTAAAACCCACCGGCAGCATAAGTGACTCCTTCATTCTCAACTGCCTCATCCACCAAACCCTTTCTCACAGTCCTCCTTCGCTTCCGAAGTGACAGCTCCGCTCTTCTGATGACTTCCTCTGTGCATGGTACTGCTTCTCCTTGTTCCAATTGGCCAGTGGTTCAGTGGATAGTGACTGTGGAAGGCAATCCCGTCCCGCTCGTAAGTCCGACAGCAGGTCTGACAGCTTAGCAGGTCTGACAGCTTAGCAGGTCTGACAGCTTAGCAGGTCTGACAGCTTAGCAGGTCTGACAGCTTAGCAGGTCCGACAGCTTAGCAGGTCCGACAGCTTAGCAGGTCCGGCAGCTTAGCAGGTCCGGCAGCTTAGCAGGTCCGGCAGCTTAGCAGGTCCGGCAGCTTAGCAGGTCCGGCAGCTTAGCAGGTCCGGCAGCTTAGCAGGTCCGGCAGCTTAGCAGGTCCGGCAGCTTAGCAGGTCCGGCAGCTTAGCAGGTCCGGCAGCTTAGCAGGTCCGGCAGCTTAGCAGGTCCGGCAGCTTAGCAGGTCCGGCAGCTTAGCAGGTCCGGCAGCTTAGCAGGTCCGGCAGCTTAGCAGGTCCGGCAGCTTAGCAGGTCCGACAGCTTAGCAGGTCCGACAGCTTAGCAGGTCCGACAGCTTAGCAGGTCCGACAGCTTAGCAGGTCCGACAGCTTAGCAGGTCCGACAGCTTAGCAGGTCCGACAGCTTAGCAGGTCCGACAGCTTTGCAAAGCCGTCGTTAAAAGTCAAAGGGGCAAGATTCACTGCCATTCTGACTGTGTCCACACCATGACTCCTTTGGGCACAGTATCCACACCATGCCTTTACAAGACTCGTTGATCTGCGTCACCTCCCTGGCACATTGTCCAAGGAGCTGCAGGTTCGTCAGTCTGACATACACGGGCGTCATGGCGTCCACGACAGCAGGAGGGATGGTATTGTGTTCGTAGGGACCTGGCTTGCGAGCCTCAACCTGTCGATACTTGCACCATGAGGTCAATCCAGGAGGGCAGAACTCGCCCCTTAGACGTTCATCAGATGAACCTCTGTGGGCAAGCGAGGTCCATATTGCACGGCTCGTTACAGTAACACCACCTGAATGCTGGCGTACAGCCGTGCACATGCCATAAAATGCAGGGAATCTATAATCTTGTCAGTCAGCCGTCCTTTAGATGAGTCTTGCGATGATTGTTGTGATGCCGATTTCTTGTGTGTGTGTGTGTGTGTGTGTGTGTGTGTGTGTGTGTGTGTGTGTGTGTGTGTGTCACTGTGTGTGTGCGTGCCTGTGTGTGTCACTGTGTGTGTGTGTCACTGTGTGTGTGTGCGTTGTTTATTCAGGGAGTAAAACACATCGACCCGTCATACCTTCACGATCAATCCAGAACCAGGACGGTAGACAGTGAGCACACACGGCCCAAGGCCACCGAGAGTGTTGACAACGTAGCAGATCACAGTGACGCAGGCAATGGCCGCCAGGTGCACGGCGGAGACACCGTCATTCACGCCCCGCATGCATCTGTGGCGCTGCGCAAGGCAGCCAGCCTGCTCAGCGACCTCAAGCACAGCCGGCACTTGGGAGAGTCGTCGATTAGCACACTTGATTCATCCGTGGCAACTGATGTCGATACTGCTGATTATGGACGTAGTGAGGATGATGGGAAGCACCAGATGTCGAGCGAGGACGACGACGATTCTGATGATGATGATTTCTCATTTGGTGATGCAGAGGATGAGTTTGACGACGATGATGATGATGAAGAAGAAGAAGACAGTGAGTTTGAATCATCTGAAGACGACACAGACAAGGATAGCAGTGGTAGTGATGAGCTGTACACAAGTGGAACACAGACCACGGTATCCGGTTCTCAAACAGAAACGGAAACATCTCTTGCGCCGTCATCATCATCCTCAGAATCATCACGAGCTGCATCTACTGAGCTGCTCGGCGTGATATCTACTCCCAAAATCGGTGCTGCCAAGGCAGACGCAGAGCGTGCAGATGCCACACCTCACGTGGCAGCACACACGCTAGAGGAGCACAAGCGCAGTGTAACATTCATGACAGAGCCACCTGTAGTGCATAGCGGCAGTGTCCCGTCATCCACTGCACGCCAAGACTCGGCCAGGAGCATCCTGAAGAAGCCCGGTGCTCTAGGGTCAGCGCGGTCGGGCAAAGAGCTGACCCTTCCTCCCATTGGTCAGTTTGCGACGGTCAACTTATCGCCAACACCCACCAGGAACGAGATAATGCGAGAACTGAAGAAACGCATTGCCAAGCGGCAGAAGCAGCACGCCGGGTGTGCCCAGAAGCCGTTCAGAACTAGCATGCAGTTTGGTCCGGTGGAGTCGATGGGTGATCCGTTCACCTGGCAGACCATTGGACTAGCACTGCCCGGTAGCCTAGTGGAGCCAGCATACAGTAAGTACCCAATACGTGCATGATTGTACACTAGTAAGTACCCGGCATGGGTGCATGATTGTACACTAGTAGGTACCCGGCATGGGTGCATGATTGTACATGTACACTACCATATGCCGCCGGGTACACAGGTTAGCAAGGGAACTAAGGGAGCATCTCATAAGTTCACATTTTTTTGTAAACGTAACGCATTTCGAATAGACTTTACCCCCCTACCTCCCCCCACTATTTGAAAGTCTTATCGCACATTTTCAGTGTAGATCTACTGTACTGTACATACCATGGTATGCACAATCATGTACAATGTTCAAGTACATGGACATGGACGCTAGTGTCAAAGTGAATGACATACAGTAGTACCACATCTACTGAGTACAAGTAAGTATTGGTTACAGTCTTAGTTCAATGACAATGACATGTACACACACATAAACAGAGTTACTCCACAACGACTGTACTGTCAAAGCTGGCCAGGTGGCAGGTACACGGTTTGATCAGGCTGGTGTGACATTTGACACCTCGGAGTAGCCTGCATGCGTAGTGCAAGGGTTAGATCTACACCTAAAACACACCCGTACCCTGCTGTCTGAAGCGGTCTAGCACAAGCTCAGCACTGTATTGCACACATCCAGAAAATGTGCGAACGGTCATTTTTCTATCCGAAATGGGCGCTACCCCCCCCCCCCCCCCTACCCCCGTTTCGAAATGCGTTACGTTTAGAAACAAAATGCGAACTTATGAGATGCTCCCTAAGCTGTTTTAAAACATAAAAGCTATAAATCAGAGTGTCGTGGCTATCCGCCAATCCTCAGACACCATTATGGGTATATATTACTATGTGCACTGTATGGGTACATGTACAAATGGCATGCCTTGTGTGAACCTTGGCTATGGTGTTGAGCCTGATTGGCCATATACACTTGCATGGTGATGGGCACCTTCGCAGACAGGACCAGGAATGAACACTGAAGGGGTTGATGGTCAAGTTCCTGATTGCCTCGATTATTGAGGGAACTTGTTGGTGGTGGAAAGACCCGGTATGCATGTGCCAGTCTCCGTTTGAGGAGGATAATGTGTCATCAGGTCACGCATCCATGTCTGTAGCTGAGCAAAACTTCTCAGTCTCATCTGTGTAATTGTGGGCTATTTTCAGAGAGGGACCAGATTACAACTCCACCGCCTGATCACACGGAACAGCATCGTGATCTGGAGACGACACGGCTACAGGTCAGTACATGTATAATTATCCTATGACTTGTGTAATGTACCGACTGTGAATAGATATAGTTATTGGCATCTACAGTACTGTTGAGTGCTGAAGAAGTGGGAGGTCGGCCTCGTAGCCTAGAGCATTCTCATTTTCATGTACAGCAAGTGTCTAGTCTATATGCAGTGGAGTCACCGGTATGCTGCTTGGTGGAATTCTAGCCTGGTCGTTCTTCGGCACCTGACTGTCTGTACACCACAATGTACTCTGTTGCGTTGTGACCGTATGCTATGCGCATACCGGTATACGTATCAATGTAGTTCAGTAGCTACTTGGCAGTGCATCCTGAACTGTGTTGTATCAATTTCCGTGCATCGTCCACGAAACCGGTTGCATTGCTCTGCCCGTCGTCCCGTTGTGTAGACCATGAAGTTCAACGCATTCCTGGCAAAGATCCAGGAGGTGGACACGCAGATGCAGTACGCCGGACAGTACTCGGCAGATTCCAAGCTGCCACCGCTCACGCTCCAGTCCATACAAATGTCCCACTCCAACAAGATTGCTCTGGGTGAGTAGTGGTGCGTGTCAGGTTGTTCATGATCATTGATGTACTAAATTCAACTGAGGTGTAATACACATCACTGTGTCTGCATGGCAAGTGTTTAACTGAGCCCAATTATTCCTCAGTTTCAAGTCTTGGAACTTGATTAGTACTATAAATTATATAGGCTAGCCTGTCCAGACGGACATCACGGTTCACAGTCTGGGGAGCAATTCCAGCCTGGATTTTCTTTTATTCTAAACTTGTTTGTTGAATCCCAATGCTATTGTATGAGGAAACTTGTTGATGATATTCGGTAGTGCCAACAGGAACATCGTGATTCTTCCTTCACCCCTGTAATCCCTGTACTCCACTATTGTTTTCCCACAGCTAAGTCCTGCGGTATGATGAAGCCAGGCGAGACCATAGCAAGGAGTCCTGTGCCGACACCTGTACCAGAGGAAACGAATCTATCCCCGGCACCATCGAGTCGCACAGCGGGAAGTCGTGCCAGCGACGCGATCAGTGTCCTGGACGGTCTGGAAGAGAGCCGCTCCAACTCCCCGGAGGACGCTGACGACGGACGGGGTGCTCCTGATGTTAAGTACACAATACTGCACAGAAATGTAAGTACACAATACTACACAGAAATGTAAGTAGCTGCCAAGTACGATATACATGTACATGTTTGATTGATTTTTATTTCACGGATCCTCCAGAGGCAAATAGATGCCTATCGAAGGGAATCTCCCGGTATGGAAAATGAGAAAGTATGTTCGTAAGGGAGAAGAGGTAGAAGATACATTAGATTATAGAGTACAAAAGAAGTAAATTCAGTACTTCGGGTAGTACATTGCATGCTAATCATAATGAGAATTAGAAAAGCAGCATTGCGGACATGTATGTGCTCACTGCGCACCTATTCTGTAATTTTAGGCTTTCCACCGACACAATATCGCTCATTGCAGTCTCATTTATAGACTAAGGGGCCGCTGTAATATCTCGTGTTCATCCAGATTTTGGGTCCATTTGGGTTCTGGAGGAATGTTTCAGGGAGGGAGAGAGAGAAAGCTCTGCAGGAGGAGGTATGAGGAGAAATCACAAAATTCTGTTTCAAAAAGATGTCGGTTTTCACAGGTGTTCCCTCAGACTAGTCTTATTAGAAAAATCCAATGAAAATAACCAAGATTTGACTGAGTTGCTCTGTCTGTGTGTCTGTCTGTGTGTCTGTCTGTGTGTCTGTCTGTGTGTCTGTCTGTGTGTCTGTCTGTGTGTCTGTCTGTGTGTCTGTCTGTATGTACGTCTGTCTGTGTGTGTATGTGTGTGTCTGTCTGTATGTGTCTGTGTCTGTCTGTATGTGTCTGTGTCTGTGTCTGTCAGTCTGTCTATCTGCATGTCTGTGTGCCTGCCTATCTGTCCATGTGTGTCTGTGTGCCTGTGCATCTGTATGATTGACCGCCTGGCAGGCACCTTCCTACCCGACCATCGCCTCCAAGTTTCTCCGCGGCAAACAGCCTCCTCGCCCTGCAGTGAGCCTGGCTAGCCAGCGCGTAAGTTACTAGCCGGTTTGCTGCTGTGTAGCTGCTGTGTGGCTGCTGTGTGGCACTTCTAGGTTTGCTGCTGTGTGGCACTTCTAGGTTTGCTGCTGTGTGGCACTTCTAGGTTTGCTGCTGTGTGGCACTTCTAGGTTTGCTGCTGTGTGGCACTTCTAGGTTTGCTGCTGTGTGGCACTTCTAGGTTTGCTGCTGTGTGGCACTTGCAGACTGGATACAGTGTATTAGGAGATAGGCGTGCTCAAATCTCTCTTGAATACAGTGTACCATGCAATAAGCTTTCTGTTTGATTGAGACGTTTGTCTTGAGCGTTCAAGAACATGACAATGTCTGTGACATGTGTCCGCAAAACGAAAGAAAAAAGGCAATGCAATGCGATTGTGCGCTTCCACCCTAAATGCATGCATGAAACCTTCGGTTAATTAATAATGCTCAGCTACACTTCCACCAACATGTGTGTCTCTCCCAATTCTGGACAGGCTCATCAAGCCACTCGGAACGTCAAGACATTTGTACCTGTTGCACCATCGAGGTACGTACACTGGTGTGGGTCTGGCTTGAGGATTGCCGCCTCTCAATGCCGATTATAACTGTAGAGTAGCTAGAAACACTTCAGGCATGGAAACATTAACGGAACAGCTGCTTTCTTTTCCCTTTAATTAACAGTTCTCTGGCATGCACAGGCTTCAGAAATGCTAGTCATGTGGAGGCCAGTTGAGGTTCAAGTAGAGGCTAGAATTTTGTTGTACTTGTGGAGCCTTTAGGTTCGACAAACGATTTTCACCACCAAACAGGTTTGAGGTAGCGTTTCCACTTCAGCTGAAAATGATTCAATGTTCTAGCAGGAACTCACCACTAGTAAATGACCATTCTTCTGCATTGTATCTCGTATGCCACTGTACAGTGAGGATAATGCCCCGCGGACAGAGTCGCCGCTGCTTCTCTCCAGCGACAGGCACACCGTCAACAGACGCTGTACGTGTGTGCATGCTGTATGCCAAGCGGAACTGCGCATTTAGCCAGTTTCCATCTTTTGCTGGAGTCAGATGAGTGGTATCTAGCCAGGCCACATGCAGCCTGCTTGACCTACTGCCATGCTGTGAGATCAGACCAGTGTCCCTCTGGGTGCCGGCAGCATCACATTCCCACCCGTACATTCACTTCTGAATCGGGTTTCATACCGAGTGGCAATGGGCGAGCACGGGGAAGGAGGTGGAGGGTGCTTATGCATTCAAAATGCTCACTAGAACTTTCCAGGATGACTTGTGCCTGGGAAATGGGGTTCTTCTTTCTTCCTTCTTTGGCCAACAGAATTTCATGTTTTCTCTCTGTTTTTATCAAGTCCTGAGAATGATCATTATTATTGATCAACTCGGTCTCTCTGTTTCTCATGACACAGGGCAGAGTGACGATGAGTTCGGTTGCAAGGCACGGCGCTTGAAGGTATGGTGACTAATGCATGTGTCTACTTCTTCACACAAACACTAGGCACTAGGCGCACTGCATGGCGGTTTCAAGTGTCAGTTTGGTTGATCGGATTTGGGAGCGACCACGAATGTACATGTATACGTGTACCTCCGAAACATGTACCGTGATTCACTCGTGTTTTCATCGTTTCTCTTTGGCATTGCCACTAGCACTAGACACACCTCAGCTCTTCAAAGTGACTCCATGGGGACAAATATTCATAGAATCCTGCTGCCATACACCATGTGCACCATTTTTAAAGATGCTGGTAATGGGGAAAATCAGCGGAAGCTAATTTTGCTCCCTCCATTCAGTGAAAACAGGCGTTTCAGGTAATCGCTCACTCGAATAGTCGACTTTTGATAAGCAGCATTCTACTGTACAAACATCCAATCCATAACATCATCAATGTCGAATTAGAAGGTGTGTATGTGAGGTAAATTAGGGCTTCTTATATTATAAGAACGTCAATGGTCTCTGAAAAAAAGGAGGTGAGGTGGAGGCTGCAGAAGTCGTGATAGATCATGAGGAACCAGATACCTAAACAACCAAGCCAAATTGGTTAGAGGGAGAGGTGATGTTTGATCTGAACGCAAATGGAGATTTCGGAGATGGTGCAAAGGCCAACTTGGGGAAAGACAGTAAGACCATAATTATAGTTACACAAATTAAAACAGTGACCCTGGAATGAATGGAAGCTCTTTGCCATGCCTATGGTTGTGTACAGACGTTGATCGCCGGGAAAGGATGGCTGAATTCCAACAATGCTGCAGTGAGACAGTCGGCTGCTAAGGTAACCTCCTGCATTGCTAAGGTAACCATGGTAACCTCCTGCATTGCTAAGGTAACCATGGTAACCTCCTGCATTGCTAAGGTAACCATGGTAACCTCCTGCATTGCTAAGGTAACCATGGTAACCTCCTGCATTGGTCATAGCAGGAAGTAATGACATAATCATATTTTACTATTCCCTGGACATAGTACACAAGCATCTTTGTATACGTAATTTATGGTTAGGTATTTGCAGGTAACCTGTGAACTAGAAATGCAACAGTGGATAGGTGCATGTCCCTCTACAGTTCATGACCGCCAGAACTGTAGCTGCCATTGCCACTACCACCACTCAGGTTCCACCACTTCCACTACCACTACCACCACTTCCACCACCACTGCGACAAGCTAGGTAAGGTGGATGTCCGTCATGTCCGCTCTAGGACAAGAAATTCATGTCGTCCCAACATGATGGCAATGTACATGTACACACTTTCCCCATCAACTAACTTAGACTACATGTACATGTAGACACTTCAAAGACTCGTGAAGGCAAGCACACGAGAAGGCTATTGAACCTTTGAAAGCATGCAAGAAAGCACCACTCCCTCAGGCCCGATTCACAGCTTGTGGGTCAAGACCCCCCCCCCCTCTCTCTCTCTCTCTTTTGAATGAATCCCCAATGGCATATTCATTGAAAGCACTGTCTCCTTGTTTGTCTCCTTTTCTGCACAGGAAATTGGTGAACTTGGATGTCATGACCGGTACATTGTCAAAGCATTGCTCAAAAAGGTACATCCATCATGTACAGGTAGAGTGTGTGTTTACTGTCACCTGGCCACTGCAAAGATTTCCAACTCAAGTGCAGCAGTGGCACTAACACTATACACCATTGTAACCCAGCGCTAGGCAGTCCATACCCTCTCGAGTCAGGAGGCATTCAGCTGATGCATTCAACTGTGCTATTCACCCGACGCTACCCATTATGTACCCGGTATTGTTTACTGTTGCTCCCGTTGCAGGTCGCCGATCCTCATTTCATTGTGCGGTATCAAGCCAGTCGCTCGTTGATTCTATTAGGTGAGAAACTTCGTTGGTCATGCCCCCCCCCCCCCAATCACCACCCTTCACGATGTCTCGGTAGTAATGCATTTGAACGCCATCAGTTTACAGGAAATCGTGTAGAGGTGCTGTTTCGAGTTCCCACCGAGGGCACAGCAATGCGAGTGGGAGTAAAACCTTCTACGAGTCTGATCTTGTCTCTCTATCTCTCTCTCCCAATCCTTGCCCTGTTCTAGAAAACAACAGGAAGTGTCTCCTTTTTAGTGGCAAACAAGTATGTGTATATGTATTATGCATTGTAAGCATACTTTCTTTGCTTTGTTCTTGTGTTTGTCTACAGGAGAGTGGCATGACTCGGCAGGAGCAGTGGTCGCGCAGTTCTTGGAGCATGGTAAGGCGTCAATGCAGTGCATGGCAAGCATGGCAAGCCGTGTGCAGATGAAGAATATCTTTGAAGAGCACATGGAGCCTTGACAAGTCCCACTGGTGAAAATGTGTTGTGAGTAGCTGCATAGTGTGGCAGTTGGCATGCAATGACCTACAATGACATACAATGGCATACAATACTAACTTCCGCCATTCACGTCGCCCCTTTTCTATGTGTCACTGGTTTTAGGAAGTGATGAGGCAAAGCTGGATATTCTGGACATCTTGATCCGCTCACACCATGGAACACAGGTGAGAAACGTTGGTCACAGGTGCACATGGCAACAATCAGTAAGAAGATGGTTTGCTGAACACTTGAGCGTTGGCTGCTCCTGTTCCTGAAACTGAACATGCGACTGGCTGACCCATGCCGCCAGACAGAATCAAAGGTGTGTACGTTTGCCGGGCTTCCCGATGGTTTACACGTTTGTCGCGGTCTTCCCCGCATGCTCTGCATGGAGGAATGGGTAAGTCGAGTCGAGTGTGTCGGTTGTAGGAATAGCACAAGGCCAGGTGTTGACCAGACCAACTCTTTACTTTTAAAGATATTGAAAACTAGGCAGGGGTTCCGCCTGAGCTTGTTACTGTGTGCGCCGCTATCATGTGCACAGCTGCCGTGCATACAGCTGCCAGAGTAGCTGCACCTACGATAGTTGTGTATCATGTGTGTGTGTGTGTGTGTGCGTGTGTGTGTGTGTGTGTGTGCGTGTGTGTGTGTGCGTGTGTGTGTGTGTGTGTGTGTGTGTGTGTGTGCGTGTGTGTGTGTGTGTGTGTGTGTGTGTGTGTGTGTCTCTCTCTCACTCTGTGCATGTAGGTTCTATCCTCGACCGGAGTAGCAGACAGCCTGGACAACGTGCTGAAGAGTACCTGTGCTGACAAGCAGTGTATCACGGCAATCAGCTTCCGTGCTGCCTACTGCCTGGCCTTGATCCACAAGGACATGAGCAGCAGCCATGTTGTTGATTTCTTGCACTCTGCTGTGAACAACGCTGAAGATGAGGGGGACCAAATACAGGTACATGTAATACCTTGACTTTATTAAAGGGGAACTCCACGAAAAAATGAAAATTTGATAGCCTGTAGAGTTTCGGGCGCTGAGTCGAATGGTCTTGGTCCGAAGCCTCTACGACGAAGCGTTCTTGAGATATTTCACTTTGAATTGCAAAAACTTATTAGGTTTATGCCTGTTTTGGAACTCCACTTTAAATAAAGCCAAACAACAACAACAACAACAACAACAAAAACGGGGCCGCGCCCTGACGTCATGCGGCCATTTGGCTATGTCATCACGGGCTGCCTGCGTCATTGTGGCATAGTCGTTTCTCTTCGCCAATCTACAAGCACTAATAATTTTCGTTGGTATTTCAAGGGAAGATGAGCGATGGAGTGAGACCACGCAAGCTTCATCAAGGAACACACAGTAACAATACACTGAAAGTGAATTGGTATACAATTCTGTTAACCTCTCACCTCCAAACTTCCGGTGTGGCAGAATTTTGTCACCTTGTCCATGCCTTTGAGGAGCTTCTTGTCCATAAGGATGCCTTTCAATGCTTTGTAAGCTTCTGAATCTATGCACAAAGGAGTAGCCAGAGGACACAAATTTAGAAAGCAGAACCTCTGGTGATAGTACAGTGGTCCCTCTATAATCCGGCACCATTTGTGCCACGAAAATCTGCTGGATTAGGGAGGGTGCTGGATTAACAAATCTGATTTACTGCTGCAATGTACATGAAGAGGACATTTTGGCTACTGAAAATTGTGCTGGTTTATCGAGGGTGCTGGATTATAAAGTGCCGGATTAGAGAGGGACGACTGTATAACGGCTTCATGATAGTCAATGATAGCAGCCTCAGTGACACGTCAACACAACAGTAAACAGTTTTTAAAAAACCGCGTATGCACTGCGCTAAAGCAATACACTTGGACAGGGCAGCGTCCCGTGGGCCATGGCAGGTAAACACTTGGACAGGGCCCTGTCCCATGGGCCATGGCAGGTAAACACATGTAAGAAATTCTGTTGGGAAATTCCCTACCAGCTTTGATCCATTTGATGGCTCGTTCGTCTTCGCCGCTCAAGGCAGAATGTGCACACATGCTGCACAGCTGCCCTCCCGTCCATGCATGGGTGTTGCAGACGTGGTGCAGCACTGACTGCCAATGTTCTTTCAGCAAGTCGGCACTGCCGTCACAGTTACTGCAACACCACCAGAAGTGGCTAATTATGGCGGCAATCCAAGCCAATAGCATGGCTCTTGTGATGCGGGCAAGCAGACCGTGCTGGCCACATTCTTGGCAAAGTGCCACACATCCAATTGGTGGCATATACCAGGGTACTGGTCGCGGATAGTTGCCTTGATGGACGGGCTTCTGTCCGTCACGACGACATCGACAGCCAGGGCTTCCTTGCAGCGATCAAGAACCCTGACAAGTCCGACCTTCTCCATGGCTACAGAGCTTTTAGTCTCTGTGCACTCCACCACTTCGAAATCGACAAGCAGGTTAGTCTCGGCATCCAGGAAGGTGTATGTGCCCAATTTGGCGGAATAGCCAGGGCTATCGCATCGCCCGTCGCCGCAAAACACAAGTTTGCGACCTAGAAGAGAAGGAACACAGATCCATAGTACAGATAAACAGTCACCCTCCCGAATGTCTACCAGAATTTAGCACCACCCAAATAACGGTATTATTACCTGGAGCAAAACTAATAACTACTTGATTACATTACATTACATTGTACACGCAGCCTACCTTGTAACAGGTTCCAGACACGCATTTTCTCTCTGGTGTCCAAGCGGCTCGTATGAGGGGAAGAATGGTCGACTTCTGGTGGCGGAAGAACAGGCTATGCCCAATGAAGGCCAGTTAAAGAAATTTCGCGAACGACGCAAACTTCTTGTAACAGCCACCACTAAAGATGGTTGCAGCTGCGATTAGGAGATTAGCTGAACATAGAAATGAGTAAAAGCAGTGATTGGAGCCGATATGTCAGGGAGTTGAGGGACATGTTCTCTGAAACAGAAAAGTGAGGTTGAAATTTGTAGCCATCTAAACCATAAACCATAAACCACTGCGTGTACGTAAGAACCATTCCATGCACTTACCGATAGGCTGTTGGCGCTTCACTAACTCTTGAGAGTGCCAAGTATGTGTGCGACCGTTCGCGCAGGTGGTATGGACGGTTAGCATAGAGCCATGCACAGCTTCTCTAGAATTGGGGAGCCACATGTAAGGCAGCGAGATAGCAGTCAATTTAACGATGACTTCGACACTAGGCACATCTCACTAGTGCCGTCGTTCATGGGGTCGTCATCGTCATCATCCTCATCATCAAACTCAGTGTCACTGAGCGCGGAGCCACTCTCATCAGATGCAGCAGATGGGCTGATGAAAAGATGGGGATGCATAGCCGGCTTTGTTGGAGTCTTCTGCACGTCTGCCCTAGAAGACATACATCAGTACACAGACAGAGATACAAGTCGCGGATTGGATGGATGATATTACTCCCCGAAAGTTTTGCTCAAGACAAATCATAGTAGCTTCAGAACATCGCGTTCTTATTGCACTGCAAGTCACGACTTCTAAAATGTTTCAGCCTAAAGCCTAAAGCGTACATGCCAGTCACTTTCAGAGCCACAAGCAGATACAACAATATTCCACTCCTGTCCCATACTTCGCAGGAGACGGTTGCATGAATTTCGGTGTAGCCGGTGATAGAGCTTCAAGCATGTCCATGTGTCTGCAGCATGGGAGTGTGCACAGGAAATAGAAAGTACACTAAGGACGACAGTTTTTTTACCCTGATAGTTGTTCTCAACTTGATTGCATTATTAGTTTCATTCCCTGCTTTGCCCTTGAGAAGGGAGTGAAACGTTGGGGAAATGAATGTCGTCTTCTTGCATGGAGTGGTGGCGTCGTTGGATCCATACTGTCTTTTCATTCACTAAGGACATCACTACTACAGCGTTGGGACTATTATATCGCTATTCAGATTCTAGCAACTGTACTGAGTGGTACGATATTCATGCAACCATGCCTAAAACAGTAACCCCTATATACAGAGACCTATGCACACAATCAACTTACTCTGGAGTCTGGTTCAGTTTGGCAGGATTGGTCAGACGTTTCCTTGTGCATGCTGCCTGCGCATCGCAAGCAAATATTTCTGTACCCGTCTTACTTGCTCGGGGGTCGTCTATTTGTGTCGCAGTTGATGTGAACGAAGGGTGTACAGTTTGCGTACCAGTATGCGCAACGTTAGTGGGAGTACATGTACATGGCTCATCAATCTCAGGTTCATCGACCTCAGCTGCAGTAACTGCTGGAGTTGATGGCAATGCACTCTGAGGATACAAAAAGAATTGAATGGGATACGGAGCTTGGGTTGGCTGTGACTTTCACGCCTGTGGCGATCATCAGACAGCAATGAAGCTGTATGAAGCTGTATGAAGCTCTGCACCCCGGTGCATTGAGCACTCTTTCGAGGACCACACTCTGAGGATATACAGGTAATATTCACGGCGGATGAGAACGAACAAACAGTAGAGTCGCAGCATGAGGACTACATCCAACGGCATCAGACCCAGAAATTTTGAAAAGTTGCATGGCACGTACCTTCTGCTTACTCAGTTGCAGCCTGTTGATTTCCGCTTCGCTGCAGGCTCACGGTCCGGAAAAACTGAGGGCACTGCTCCATGGATGTCTTTCTGGACGGAGTATTGATCAACTCGGCTCTCAAGTCCCTCTGTATCGCGAAGTCCTCTTTGCAGAAATGCAGGGAACAAACGTAGCTAGTGCTGCGAAAATCCGCTGGCAAGTTCTCCCGACGTATAGCAACATCCCAGCGCTTTGCCAGGTCGTCATCCTTAGGAAATCTGTGAAAACTAACCCCAGGAGGATGATTTGTTCTACTGGAACAACCGACCACACAACAATTCGGCATCGCTGTAGTTCAGGTGAAATGGCAAACTTTCCTAAGCAGGAAGGGAATTTGCTCATGACAAAAAGAAGATGCGATCCCAAACCCTGCTAGTTCCGCACCTTGCCACAATGACATCACACATACATTGGTATGGGGGCGTGTCTAAACTAACTTGAAACATCTCAAGAACGCTTTGTCGTAGAGGCTTGGGACCAAGACCATTCGACTCGGCGCCCGAAACTCTACAGGCTATCAAATTTTCATTTTTTTCGTGGAGTTCCCCTTTAGGACCAACCAGAGGGCTTGACTTGATAATTATGTTAGCCCTTGTCAGAAGCTATTTTTGATTGGTCCGGCTTGTAGAGGTCCGAATCTTCCCTGGAGAAGTTTTGAAAATATCATGCCAAATTGTGCCTTCGGGGGACAGTGTGCCGCCCTTGCAAGTTTTGGACCTCGGAAATAAAATCAAACTGCAGTAAAGTGAGTGACTGAGGAATGAAACTATGCCAGAATCTTTTGAAGCCGGACCCCGCTTCGACGTCAATGTGATATTTGTCCCTCCACCCTCCTCCTTCTCCTCCTCCTTCTCCTCCTCCTCCTCCTCCTTCTCCTCCTCCTCCTCCTTCTCCTCCTCCTTCTCCTCCTCCTTCTCCTTTTCCTTTTCCTTCTCCTTCTCCGTTTCCTTCTCCTCCTCCTGTCCCTCCACCCTCCTTCTCCTCCTCGTTCTCCCCTTAAATACTGGTGCATGACCACGCTGAGTGTGTTGGCAACTCGGTATACTTGTGCATACGGCTGACCATTCACATCCACATGTTTGAATAGGCAGTCTGCAAATGTGGTCACCATCTAAACTTGGCTTTGGCCACTTTTGACGCTCTTCTACTTCTTTGACAGGCTCTGGACTCGTTGTACAAGGACGTGAAGGTACACCCAATGAAGCTGCTGGATTCCTATATGAAGTTTCTCTTCAGTGCAACAGCTGCTAAGGTATACATTAATTGCATTATCTTTCGAAAAATATTTGTTTTGAAATTATGTCTAGAAACGTACATAATTTTAAATCGTGTATGACTGCTGTTGCTTTGGGAAGTGCGTTGAAGCCCGTGCGCGTGCGCGTGTGTGTGTGTGTGTGTGTGTTGGTGTTTGTAGTACTTTGTACGAACAAAAGTACACGTAATTATGCAATAGCAAAATCTGGCGCAAGCCTCGTTTCCTACCAGCAAAAAGGTGAAATTAGTATTGTTATTATTAAACTCAATCTCGTAGCATGTGCACGCATGGCTAATGTGGGGAGCAACCCCAGAGATGAGGGCGATACCCAGCCATGGCAAAACGGCACAAAAGAAAAAATGGAAAGAAAGGAACAGGGAGGAAAACAAAGCCATTGAGTGAGATAATCGGGCATTACATTTTTTAGCTAAACGAAACAAAAAAGGAAAACGCAACTCGGTACAAACAACTCGACGAAACTGAGACCTGCTGTGGCAGTGGTGGGCTAGGCTTGATAGCTTGAGCCAGTCAGAATAGGAATGAAACAGAGGGGATTTTGTAAACTGGACAGTGCGAGCTGCAGGTAGCGAGACCTGTACCCTAGTTGAACGGCTCCGCACAAACCAGTCATAGGGCAAAGGATGCCATGGTACCTAAGAAGAGAAAACAGAGATCTACAAACGTGAGGCAGGTAACGGCAGAGAGGCTTCAGAGTGAAAAAAAAAGCATTGGAAACATGTGTGAGATGTGTGCTGCTAATACAGTGTATTGTGCACCAGGTGCCGGGTACATGCCCTGGTTGCTTTGCACGGTCCGCCATCTCTACCTTGCACCCTGCTAACATGTTTCCGTCTGTCTTTCCTTCTTCTATGCGCATGTGTGGCAATACTCGTACAGCATCGCTTGCTCTGTGTTATTCGTATCGAGTGCGTGGGTAAGTAATAGCAGTGTACTGGGAGGCCCTCACCTCTTCTACACATACTGCAGGCTCTGTCCACTGGGCACTGTAAGCAGCCTAGGGATTTTAGACAACTGTACGTGTAGACAGTTGTCTAAAGTCCCAAGGCTGCTTACAGTGCCCAGTGGACAAAGCCAGTAATACAAATATTACACAGCAATGAAACAAACAAGTCTGTGTTTTTACACGAAACTCGGAGTAACAGCGGAAAGAGACTTGTTTGATTCATTGCTGTGTAATATTTGTATAACTGTACGTGTATGTTTACCATAAAACTCTGAGTAACAACGAAACTGTCCCATTTTTATTTCCTTTTGTGTACCTCTTGTGTACATGTACATATGTATCTGGAGGATAGGTATTCACTGCCTAGCACATGCCACGGTACATGTATGCTCAGTTCCACTATGGTGGAATACAAAGTCGCTATTACACGCATACGGCAAAAGAAAAATTACGGGCAAAGAGAACTGCACCATTGACCTCGCATCGTCTTGCTGATGTGTAGTTATGCATAACCACTTTAACCAGTATATTTCGAAGTGCAGTGCTGTTTTGAGGATTTCCGATAACAGGAGGCAAGTTCACTCCAGGCACTGTGCAACCCCAGGCCCTTGAATACTGAGCTGTGCAGTACATATTTTGTGAGATAAATAATGTTGGTCATGAGATCAGATTTCATTGAACAGCACTGTATGCACGTGTTGTTTGGTGCATGCATGTGACTGGCAGTGCACATTCTGCAGCGTTCTTCCCTGGTTTTATTTATTTCTGGCCGATGCTAGCCAAAGATCAGCCACGCCAAGTTGCCGAGCATCCCCGGCTAGAGCAGCAGCTCTATGAGAAGCTATGGAACGATTCCAATAAAGTAAGAGCAGATCTGTTCCCTTTCTCACTGTGTTAGAACTGCATTTCGCCCCAAAGTACTGAAGGTTTCAACCAGGGAGTACTTGTAATTGTAGAATACTCCTGGTTGAACTTCATCAGTACATCACCCTGCATTTATTATACCTTTTATGCCGGTCCTTTTATCCACTGTCTTTCTCTCGCAAAAAAAACAAGCAAGGCTTTTCATTGTGTTCATTTTGCCCGTAAAAGAGGCCAGTGGACACAATTCAAAACATTACCCCCCCCCGGTGTGCACAGTGTACCGCTACTGGCAAGTCATTTCTTTTTAGCTTGAACACTTTTATTCTGGTGCCATCTTTCATTGCTGTGAGCAGGAGGTGAGCGTTGGCGCAGCGCGTGTACTCAAACTACTGAATAAGCAGCAGCAGGCTTGCAGAGAGGTGCAAAAGTGAGTATGACTCAACGGTGTAGTGTGTACGAAATGCTCTAACTGTGCTGCAAGTAACGTGTTATTTGTGTGTGCTGCTGCACTGGCGCATGTGACGTCATAAACCAGGGAATTGTAAAACAATCAATGTTATAATAATAATTATGCCAGCCTTGCCTGATAGGTAACGTGTTTTCACGGTGACAGCGTGAACAAGGCGAGGACGCACTGTATGGGAAACAGTGCCCCACGCCACCAACGCTGTCACCGTGAAAACAATCATGTTAGTAGTTTTGATTGACACGTCCCTGCTACGAACCGACCTCAACAGGTGATAGTGTAAATGGGTATGGATTGTAGGTAGATCGCATACTGATAGACAATAGACACTGTTATTTGTAGGCTGCTGTGATCACTTGCATGCAGCATGTAGGTCATGGTGCCCCGGGAGTGCTTCAAGTACGTAAGTTTATAGGGTGGCTGCATCTGTCTCCAGCTTGTACTGCACAGACAGTGCAGTATGTGTCCACGGTGAATGCATAGCAATCATTGGCCTTTCTGCATGTGATCTGTCCTCTTCTCTCTGGTCTTGCAGACAACTGGAAAGCGAGAAGGAAACGTTACGGATCAAAGGAGTCCGGTCTATGGTGAGTTCCGATGTGATTGACAGTGTGATGAAAATGATCTCCTTTCTTTCCCTGATTCAGTCCCTTCCCCCGTCTTTGGATGCACTCTCAATTGAAGTATTCGATTGTCCACATTCTGATTTGTTTCAAGTCTTTTCGCTGAGTTCCGTAGACGTTATCTAACGCTAAGTGTTATTTGTTCCTGCTGCTGCTGCTGCTGTTGTTGCTGTTGCATCTGTCCAAACCATAGTGCGCTTTACGGATGCGAGCGCGTGGCAATATTCAGATCCTGGTTGACTTGGTTCGCATGGATCCGTGTCAGTCGGTACAGCTGGCTGCCGTCAGGGCATTCGCTGACCTGAACATCACGGACAGTACGGTGCTACGGCTACTGCAGAGCAAGGCCAGTGGACCCGACACTGCACTCAAACAGTGAGTAAAACACCGAAGACATCGATGATGATGATGATGACGACCTGCTATGCTATGATCATCTCTAGAATTTAGGTATCTGTAGCAGGGTGATAGGCACTGCTGCCGCTGCCCTGCTATGTTCTTATTGAAAGGAATGTAAAGCTGATTGAGGCATTGATTAGGACGAAAGACAATGCGGAAGAGTTGAAGGAGAGTAATCAAAATATAGTCAAGCAATAAAGAAAGACAATCTTTAAACACCTCTACCATGTATATTACATAATATTTTGCATTGAAATTACATTGCTTCTGTAAAAAGGGTATTTGCCAAGCAGTTCTCAAACTTCGCATGCACTAACAGCTGTAATACGGCATCTCAGTATAAACGTGTGTGTGTGTGTCCGGATATGTGTTTGCATGTGTGTCTCATGCGTGCACGTGTCTTTGTAATAGGGAAGCTCTCCATACACTACAACAACTGAAGGTAGCGTGAGAAGGAATGCTGCAGGCCAGGCAGGCCCAGCTGGCTGGTCCTCCGTACACTACAACGACTGACGATAGATAACGTGAGAAGGAATGCTGCTGCTGCTGCAGCTGCATTTGATGCTGGAAATTCGAGGAGTGGACAGGGCCAGCTGACTGGTATCCTCCAAACCATCCTCAGCAGTATGCTAACTAGTACAGTGGTCCCTCTATAATCCGGCACCATTTGTGCCACGAAAATCTGCTGGATTAGGGAGGGTGCTGGATTAACAAATCTGATTTACTGCTGCAATGTGCATGAAGAGGACATTTTGGCTACTGAAAATTGTGCTGGTTTATCGAGGGTGCTGGATTATAAAGTGCCGGATTAGAGAGGGACGACTGTACTACACTCGCTACAATTAGCTACAGGTACACGCTGCATGCTTCGGTCAGCAACAAGCTACGCAGCTGTCTGCTCACTCGTCGAACACCTGCTGGATATCCCTCAAGCTGCTCTCGAGCGCGGCAACGAAACCGTCTGGATCGCGGTAACCGTGATAGGCCGTGACCTGCGATGCGATGCAGTTGTCGTCGACGCGATAACCGACTCCGAGACCGTCGTTGACGACGGGTGCAAATCCACCCAGCATGACAGCCGGGCTGGACAAGGTACTGGTGGATAGTACAATATGGTTCAGGTCCTTGTAGCCATGCGAGCTAAATAGGTCAACGGACTTGCCGGATGCCTCGGCGATCTTCTTCAGTGCAAACAGATGACGATCAAAGCCGTTACCTAGGAAACACATACATAACACACCCATGTAAGAAGGGTTATGTTATACTTTCTTAGCCTGCATTCTATCTGGTATATTTCATACGAACAAGAACACCTACTGAAGACCCCCCCCCCCCCCATTGTTGAGAATATTAAATTATATATTTTCAGCATGTCTTGAGACATCTAAACCGGATTTTATTTCCAGTGAAACTCGCACACCAAAATGAAATGTAACATCTGCCCCTCAGCATGAAACTTCTGTCCGATCAGCATTCTTCTAACAAGTGTCCTTGTGTGGTGTGATGTCTGCATAGGCCATCATGAATAATTGTAGTCCCCACAACCTTCATGTAGAGCAGTTGCAGTGACTAAAATCAATCTTATGGCAAGCATTCCCCTGAACCGGCCCCAGAGGTCTTCGTATGAAGATGAGATTCGACTTCCACTACTGTACCTCGGAGTGCACTCGACATGTGCACGCAGATCTAATACAATGCACAGCAGCACTAAGAATCATGCAGACCATTTTATAAGGTGCCAGCATACCTGTTGCAGCCTGCTTGATGAGTGTGCTGTGCTTCTCAGAGGCTTTGTCAATGAGTGCACGTAGCTCTTCCTTGCTGAGCGGCGAGGTCTTGTTCTCAAAGCCGGCCACACCAGCCACCGTCTCAACCGTGGCGGGACGTACTGTTTCCGTTCGGCCGTGCTTGAATGCTGCTGTGCTGCATGATTCATACGTGGCTGGTGTGTAGCCATGCTGGCGGTAGAATGCAAGCTGTACACGCACATCACCAGGGTACACACACATCAAGTTCAACAGGCCAGGGTACAAACAAATCCATAATGTACACACAAATCCATAGGGTACCGGTGCACACACCATACAAACACCATACACACCATACACGCACCATACACACACCATACAAACACCATACACACCATACACGCACCATACACACACCATACACACACACACACACGCATGCACACCATGCACCATGTATACGATACGTCGCAAGAGAAGCACGCAAATCGGCAACGCACTGGATGTACACGCGCACGTGCGCACACACAAACACACACACACACACACACACACACACACACACACACACACACACACACACACCGAATCATATCCATCTTGCATTTTTCAATGTTCTCTCATCACACCTGGTGCCCACATGCAGCAGTTACTCACCTGCAAGCTAAACTGGAGAATAGCATCACCACTCAGCTTCTTGTCCTTCAAGAACTTCTTGTTCATACCAGGGTACTGGATGGTGGCCATGCGTAGTTTCTGCGTGTGGTCGTCAAAGCGCCGAGTAGCCGCTGCTATGTGACTCTTCAGGCTGTCGTTCAGATTGAAGGGCAGGCTTTGAACTAAACACACACACACGCGCGCGCGCACGTGCACACCCACCCACACACACACACACACACACAGACACACACAAACACAGACACACACACACGCGCACACACACACACACGCACACATGCAGACACACACGCACACACAAAATGCACAGAAAGAATCACTAAGGTTAACAAAATGCATTCCTGGCTTGGTTAAGTTCAAAGAGACTGGACTGACTTGACACAAGCATTTATAACACTCTCCATGGCAGTTCTACCTGTCTAAACAATAGGGAGGTTTCGCTCTACGGAATTACGTATGAAAATAACGTAGGAACTGCACGTAATTTTCATACGTAAAAATCAGAGCTGTTGGGTTTCGCTCTACGTGATTTCTCCACGACTGCTAAACATGCCTTGTTGCTTTGGAGACGTGTTGGCTGCATGTGCCCACCGCATGCACCACGAGCCGAAACCGCGTTTCCATTGTATTTTGCACGTGGTGTACGGTGTGTGTACCTTGTGTTTCGCGCGGCTTGAACTTTGCCATGGATAAACCCTGAAAATGCGAAAAATATTTCAAAAAGTCCTACGGAGACCCCAACGTAGGAAACAGCTTTCCTACGGATATCCGTAGAGAGTTTTACGTATGAAAGTTTCCCTCGCTCCCCGGCGTGTACGACATACGGATTTTCATACGTAATTACGTAGAGTGAAACCTCCCTAATGTAACAGAACTATGAACAGCTTTCTATGAGCGCCTCTTTGAAGGGGAAAATCACCCAACACCTCAAAGAGTGAGAGCATCAACCAGTCTGTCAACCAGCAATGCTATACAGATCATACACGTAAGCACTGCAGCGGCGTAATTCATGCTGCAAAGTTCCACACCAGGGTGTCAGTATGTCCGGTTCCAGTTCAAGTGATTAACACAACGATGCACATGATGTTCTTCCCTGCGCATTGTGGTGCAAGTTCTACGCCAAGGTGTTGATATAGTAGAACAGTACATGTGCGTGCAGTGAAATTCCATGCAGAGGGGTTGGCACACAGACACAGATCAATAGCGATTGAGCTCCAGTTGCAAGTCGACTACCCACACACACTGTACCGAGCAAGACTGTACAGTATAGTGTTCCTTTGACTGAAATTGACTCTCCTACATTCTACACACAAGCAGCACAGCAACATGCGGTAACATATCCCCCATGATCTGCTTGTCACTGGCTTACCTGCCAGCATCCTCCTCCTGGCACTGCCATGGGAGCTAATGCCAACTGGAATTCGCCTGGTACAGATCCACCACATGGAACAGGGTGCTTTCTCCAGGGATCACAGGGAGCCCACTAGCCCTAGCCCTCCCATGTCACCCCAGCCGGCTCCAGGACTGATCTTGACTCAAACTCTAAAAGGAATCCACCAACTTGTGAAAGGGCAACGCAGTCGCACGCACCATCACTAGTGCATGCAGTAACGTTAAACTTACATGATACTTTGTCCATGGTCAGGGGCATTTCGAAAGGATGCTTCTTCACGTCGGCATACACCTCGTTGAGGAAGCGCAGTACAGCTACGCCATCGCCCCAGGCGTGCTCAAAGTTAACTGCAGCTCTGCCACCCTTGCACACAATCAGCTGGAGTGACTTGTCAAACCAGCTGCACAGACACAAGGCAAGCACAGCAGAAAACAAGAAACATTGCAACCGACTAATTGCACATGAAGCTTGAGTAACACGAGTCCAAGAGACCACGCCATGAAAGGATCACAATGTGCAGATAACCTATCGTTGCAGAGGATATCATCTCCAGCACACAATCTGCAGCAGGTTAAGAACTACCTATCGCATTTTCCAGTTATAAGTCGACTTTTTATAACCTAAAAACCGAAATAAAAAAGCGGCGGTCGACTCACGACCGGGGTTCAACCGCTATTATTCATATTGATATTGAAGCGGTTAATCGAGGCCCCGAGCATTGGGGGCCAACTTACAACCGAGGTAGACTTATAACCGATACAATACGGTAAAAAGTTCAGCAATAAAAGAATGGATCTCGCAGAATGGCTTTAAAAGCGTACCGGTTGTGCGCCTCTCCGAACAGGAATGTGTTGCTGAGTGAGACAACGGAATCCGGCTCCGCATCCTCCAGGACGAGCATGAACACGGCGCTATCAATCAGCTCCAGGTTCTTGGCGTTCTGCGGGTCTTCGACCAGCTTGAGGCGCGCTGCGGCCCACTGGTTGCGGTCGTCGGACGTCAGGCAGGCAATGCTCTCCTTGTTCTGCTCATTCGACTGTTCCTTGATCTGACGCAGGCAGCTGTAAATGCACTCCACCGGAATAGCACTGCCTGTAGTAAACAATATACATGTACACCAACACCAATACCAACACCAACACCAATACCAACACCACCACCACCACCAACAACAACAACATGAACACAACACGCATAGCAATACACAGTTGTTTTGAGAACAATCAGCCATCAGCCGAAAATCTGCAGACCCACAGTATCGTACTCATTCAGCTTACCGTCCTCCTTGAGCACGTCGAACGTGAAGAAGTTTCCGCCAGAGAGAACGGCCACATGGCGTCGCCCAGCATAGGTAGCCAGCTCATCCTTGTGCTTGCACGGTACGCGTGTAGTATTGAACAGACGCGTGTACTGGCTCATGTCGAGGGGAAAGATCTTGTGCAGGTACGCACCATACCAAGACACAACTTCAGGTAGATAACTGTAGAGCAAAGAGATCACACAAGACAGAACGACAAAAACCGAATACCGGCATCTATAAATATTGTAGCATATATTTAAAGGACACGTTACGTAGTGGAAGCAGCTTTAATATAATGTGGCAATACACAATCAACAGCACCCTTACTAAGTGCATGAGAGTGGAAGTGCTAAACTTGTACCAAACTTATGAGTCACAGGTAAGACCATCTGAAAAGAAAGCTTCTGTACACAGTCCTATAATGATGCGTTAGTAAAGTGGCAACTGATCACAGTGGTAACGACAACATCAACGCCCCTATCAGGTGCTGGAGCTTCAGCAAGTCAACCCACTCCTGTGAGCATCAACCCTACCAACCTGAGGCGCTTCTTGATGCGATCGTTATCAGTCTGCTTTGGATTCATGTGATAAAGTTCTGGCTGCAGCTTTCCATCACGGTAGGTACGCATGAAACGCACCGCTGACGACACCAGTGTAGCTGCGCGTGTGACCTGTCAGTACACACACACACACACACACACACACACACACACACACACACACACACACACACACACACACACACACACACACACACACACACACACACACACACACACACACATCCACACATGTGTGCGCATGCGCATACACATACACATGAACAAGAGCCAAAGAATATGTTAGATACTTTAGTAGTCACTTGTGGCAAATATAAAGTGGGTGATAAGGAGTCAAAACGGTCAAGATTCTTGGGGTGCATTCTAATTTTCTCTAGCTTGTCGGAGAAATTTCTCCCGGATCTTTTGCACGTGTGAAGCGCCAAAGGGGACGCGATCTTGAGTGACATGAATGTAGTATGCACTGTGCGTATAAAACCATAGCAAAAAAGACGTTCATGATCCACACGTGACTTTCAGCAGTAACGTTAGTTAGTAGTTCGCATGCGCTGACCCCAAAACGCGGGGAATATCCAAGCTTCAACCACCTTTGTAGCTAGGAGAGCTTGGAGAGCTTTGGAGAGTCTATTTTAAAAATTCAGAGAGGAAAATACAGGTCTCCAACTTTTTTGAGAGGGTTTTAGAACGCACTCTTAGTATACATTCATCAGTTGAAGGTGTTGAAAAGAGAAAAAATACTATGTGTGTGTGTGTATGCGTGTGTGTGTGTGCCCGCTAGTTCAGGTGGTGGGTACACTTATGCCAGATAGTGTTGGGCCTGTTGCTAACGGGCCCGGCTGCTTGAAGGTGTATTGTTGTACCTACCACCTTTGTTCGTTTCAGGGTTCATATACTTTCTATTTGAAGTATACATACCTGTTAACCATGGACTGCTTCTGGCTAGATTAACTCTTGTGTAATCAATGGTGCTAGTGAAGCTTATATCAGATCCACTCTGATTTAGCCACCCACACTAGTACCAAATATTACCTTCACTGGGGGCAGGGGTACCTGCAGTTGGATCCCGGGACGGATACCCTGATGCCGTCAATCCTTTTTCTGCACCTTGTCCTCACCCACTTACTGAGGTGTGGTGAGCCCATAAGTGGGATCATTTCAAGTCCACCCTAGTTTGGGGATTTCAGGGGGTGTCGGCCGCTGGGTGGTTCAATGGCCAATTGAGTCATCTTTCCAAGATTCCTTTTGAGTCTCTCTCCCCTCTCCCGGGGAGATCCACGTGACCAGTTTTGGCAGTGAGCAAGAACAAGTACAAGTGTGTGTGTGTGGGGGGGGGGGGGGGTAACTGCAGTGAGCAACAAGTACAAGTACAAGTGTGTCTGTGTGCACACGCACACACACACACACACACACACACACACACACACACACACACACACACACACACACACACACACACACACACACACACACACACACACGTGGATAGCATTCTGACCTGATCGCTGCCACCGGGATTAGTGTCGTCCGTAAATGCAATGAACGGGTTGTAATTGAGAGGCAGAGGTGAACGGTCTCTCAGATACATGTCAAACCAATAGTCTACAGTGAGTATTTCAAACAGAAAGAAACAACCAAATGACAATAGTCAACAGTGAGTATTTCAAACAGAAAGAAACAACCAAATGACAATAGTCAACAGTGGATTGGACTACTGGATAGTCAACCAGTGCCCATCAACTACGGCAAACAATGGAGCATGAGCTGACTGCCATAGCCACGTCACACACAGCAGGTAGCAACTGCTTCACTCTTCGCTGATCACAGCATAATTCAAAGGATTGGACACATACCTTGGGTTGAAAGTAAGAAACATAGATCCGCTGAGCGAAGGATTGCTGATACATGAATGATAGCCATGCCAGTAAGTCAGCAAAATTAGTTTAAAAAATACCCCCCCCCCCCCCCCAAATGATACCATATTACTGAATCGGGAATTAAAAATAACGAGTCGACTGGTCATGGGAAGGCTTGCTTACCGGTGATGTAGCTGGTGTGTTTGTTTTGTTTATCCTGGGCGACCAATTCCTTGTGCAGCTCTGCGCACATACATCATGGAGACATGGAGAAGGCAAAACAACCCTCTAAATTACACGTTGTCAATTTTCCATGCCACGTCACAGTCAGTGAACCTCTCAAAGAAATTCAATAATGAAATCGAAATTGACAGCATGATGAGCATGCGGAGAACCGGACCGCCTTACCAGCGCCGACGCCTTGCTCAAATTCCTTGAGCATCTTCTCGTGCTGGGAGAAGTTCTCCCCGTCCAGCAGCGGGCGCTGGGCGTCCAGGTAGCGCGAGCATGACGCCTCGAGCTTCGGAATTGGCAGGCGTGGCAGGCTGCGCTGGAAATGGTGCATTGGCACGACGGTGTCCTGCAGGTAGTCAGCATTCTTGCTGCTGCTGCTTGTGCTGCAAGCAGCAAGAGCAGCAACAGAAAAACGTCAAAAAAAGGTCATGTGATCGGGAGCAATGCGTGCGAAAAGGTCTCAGGCTGCTGGAATCAGGCGCAATTCGCATTGCTAAACATCCACTACACTGCACACAAGGGAGTTATTCTAACAGGACCGCCGGAAGCAGTTGGTCCGGTCATACCATAACCTTTCATACAGTTTGTGTATGAAAAGGAGTGGGTACACGTAACCTCCTCAGCGGTAAACATGAGTTGGTGGCCAACACGTTGGTGCGGTGAGGACCTGACCAACTGCACCGGTCCCGGCAGAGCTGCATAAGTAGGTTAAAGGACTACTCCCTGCTGCACATGTACATGCAGTGCATATGATTGTAGGTTGAGCAAATGTTAGACTGCATACCAAACAGACATGAAAGATTCGATATCAGTGGCTGATAACACTGCAATATAATAATTATATTATTAACTCGGATGGAGAGCTGACTGTTTAGTAACTTGTGGTGTTAGTGGACATTATAGTGCAACTTATAGTTCCTTGGTCCTTTTTACTTTTTATAAATTCTAATTATTATTGAGTGCACATTCTGGTCTGCGGTGAAGGGCAGTGAAGGGCATGAGCGGAGGTAGATAACACGACCCTCTACATCCACCCCCATGCACGATATCATAGGCAATGTATGCCTCGGCATCCACCCGCATGTACGCCATCATAGGTAATATATGCCTCGGCATCCACTCGCATGCACGACGTCATAGGCAATGTATGCCTCGGCATCCGATCGCATGTATGACGTCATGGGCAATGTATGTCTCGGCATCCACCCACATGTACGACATCATAGGCAATGTATGCCTCGGCATCCACTGGCATGCACGACGCCATAGGCAACGTATGCCTTGGCATCCGCTCGCATGTACGACGTCATGGGCAATGTATGCCTCAACATCTATCCACATGTACGACACCATAAAGTGGTACATGTATTACGTGTATCTCGGTACCGTACTTCTCCACGTATACTATAAGCGCATGTGCTTATAAGCGAAAATTTGCTGCAAAAAATATGTTTTGCTGCGTAAACATGTCCGGGTAGAAGAACATGCGCTTATATGTGCAATAAAGGTTTGTCTGTGTCCTAAACAACGGTGTTATCACAATGCTTAGCAGTATATTCAGCTTCCGGGTGTTTCACCAATCGTGTTAACATAATAAGCATATACGCTTATATTTGGGGGGGGGGGGGGAGGAGGGAGGCGTTCATGTCCGGACATAAGCCCGTGCGGGAGTACGGCAATTGAATGGCAACCATGGTACTACAGACAGTCAGAAGGGCTCAATACAGCACTTGGAGTAACCTGGTGTGACACAGAAAGAAATCCTACAGCAGCCACTACTATAGCAGTGGTCATTGAAGTTTGGAAACCGTCCCCGAGTACAGCGCTGCAATCCTCGTACAATACCGTAAAAGTCCGTAAATAAGTACGTATTTACTTTCGAATTTAGTGACCACACCCGTACTAACTTTCGGGCAGGTACTGACTTTCGGGCACAAACTAACTTTCGGACCTGACTTGTGTGTAGTGGAGAAGGCGTTTTCATGTTGATGTACATGCTACGTGCTGCATGTGCGCATCATACCGGTACTTATTTCGGGCAGTATGTTTATCGGGCTTGACTTGACTTCAACAGACAGAGCCAAAAGATTGAAGGGGGTATTTCTTTCGGGCAGGTACTTATTTACGGACTTTTACGGTAATGAATTACGGCAGCCGCGTATGTAGGCTGCAGTGTGCCGGGCGCTGTACCCGAGGAGAGGTCCGGATTTCATCATGTACTGTACTGTCTGTAGTGTGACACATTCAGGTGCAATTCACAGTGTATGTGTACTTCCAGAAATTCAATGTCATACTCATGGAGATCCTACGCACTTGGTTTTTGAATGAACACAATTCTTCATTTCTTAACCCAAACACAGTGCCATTAAAATTTTGATAAGCAACGCGGGCCTTAGGACCTACAGAAGTACCTCGATGAAAATCACATTCTCAGTAGCAGAAACATATCAACCTATGCACCTAGACGGTATTGCTTACCTGAAGCTTCTGACAGGATGCGCCTGCAGTGGAAGGAACAAGACGATGCCATTAGCTTGTCAGCAGGCGATTATAGCGGCCCAAAAAATCGAGCAAAAACTTACCACCGAGGCCAAACGCCAAGTTCGCACCGCCATTCCAGATTCGACTCAAGTAGGCAAACCTTAGAGGGCAACACAATGCAAGGATTGCCCGAGCAAGTGATCTGGTATGAGTTTTGAGTCTTGTAAAATAATTGGTCTCAGGATGTGGGCAAAGAGTCGAACTCGCGAAGAACATCTTTTCGGTTTGATTTTTTGACCTTTTGAGCCCAGTTGCGCACGTGATCAGGGAGTCGTAAAATACCGGTATTTTACTACTCCAAAAATTTAATGACATATGTGGTCATGTACATATATGTGTGCAGTATACCATATCGCCCGATTTTGTTAGCAAAATATCGATGTGTCCTGGCCCTCCTAGATCCTAGATCCTGGGTGATAAAGACAAAGATAGAAAAAACGCGTCTGTAAACTGCCCAATATTCGTGTCACTAAATGTTCACGAACTCTCACGACTCAAAACAAGTGAGTTTACGACCATCGTGCCGGGCATCAGCAAGGGCGTTTTTCGAGGATACCTAACCCTTGAGAGAGAGAGAGAGAGAGAGAGAGAGAGAGAGAGAGAGAGAGAGAGAGAGAGAGAGAGAGAGAGAAAGAGAGAGAGAGAGAGAGAAAGAGAGAGAGAGAGAGAGAGAGAGAGAGAGAGAGAGAGAGAGAGAGAGAGAGAGAGAGAGAGAGAGAGAGAGAGAGAGAGAGAGAGAGAGAGAGAGAGAGAGAGAGAGAGAGAGAGAGAGAGAGAGAGAGAGAGAGAGAGAGAGAGAGAGAGGGCACCCAGTCACACCGACAATCAACAGATATGGGTATGTTCTGTACTACAAGTACATACTATATATGTCAACCTCCCTCTCAGAATCAGATTGAGGGTTAGATTGTGTAGCCAGAATGAACTATACCACTAGGCAGAGGCAGAGAAAGCAGGGATATGACAGTAATAAGGGATCCCATGACAGAAAAGGTACTAAAGCACAAGTACTGCAGTGCAGCGCAGTTAAGACAGTGGCCAGGTTCTAAGAGAAAAATGCGCGAAAATAAATAGTGTGCATCAGCAATAAATACCACACAAATGCAATAGCATCATCTTGTAAATAGCTACAAGTCGACGTTGCACGGCACAAGACAGATGTTACAAAGAAGAAGCTAGACTAGAATAGAAGGCAAATAGGGTGCCTCAGCAGAGTGCATAGAGCACCATTTGAGAATCGAAGGAGACAAAAAGCTAGGTTATCATAGGTAAAAAAAGGGTGGATGAGAATTAACATTTCAAGTTAATTTCAAGTAGCAAGTTAGTTCGTTGGTTCCTAACATCGTGACCATAAAATAGTATGTGCATCAGTCCGCCGTCAAGAATTTTGAACATCTTATATACAATGCTGGGTATTGGAAAATGGGTTTAGCTCATAGAATGTTCCCAGCTGACTATTTACACCACACTATCAAAAGCAGAAAGTGGGCTTCCTGTGATGAGTGTCAAAGTACAAGCAAAATGAGGTATGATGAAACTACATATAGGGGGTTAAGCCTAGCAAGGAGTATAACACAAGGGGGCAGCAGTACACAAATTAAGTCACACACACACACACACACACACACACACACACAGCGGACATGACAAACGGGCAGCATATAGTACGACAGATGAGGGAACCGTGTCCAATGCTCTGTATAAAATGCACAGTGAGCCAAATCAGTGAACGCAGGCTCAACACATCCCAGGGACTCGACTACAAATACTCTCGTTCGGCGTATCCACTGGTTGCGCAACCTCCGATGGCACTGACACGCCTCAGAGATCCTGTTGGCACGCCATATCATAAGGTGGTGGTGAGGGCGAGCTATCAACGGACGGGGGAGTCGAATGGAAGTCGGAACTTATTCTGCTCCGAGCAGCAGGGACAATGTTGCAATGTGCGTGTGCCACTATACCTTCAGGCAGCGCAATGCTACCAATAGCACCGACGGTGCTCATGCTCCGAGCACGCTGCACGTCAGCAATGTAAGGTCTGTATGACAAGAAGGAGGCACAGTGGAAACACTAGTGGTCAGGAAGAGAAATTAGCGCTGGTAAGCTGCACCATCTGATGACAAGGTCTTCAGTTGCTACATACAATACAGGAGCATACATGTGAATTTCAAGAGGAGTACTGCACTCCCTCGCCTCTGCTTGGTTGAGCACTCTTTCTGGCTAGCGTCAAAGTCATCTGCCCTCGTGCAAAGCTCGCTGTATTTATCGCAGCTGGAGCACTCTGACTTTGAAGACTTCTGAGTTCAGCCGGTTTAAAAGTGCTCTGTTCTTCATTAGATGTCACTGCGATCGGTTCAGTCAGTACCTCTGAGCTCTGCTGACGAGACCTGATAAAGTCGAAACAGTTAGCTCTCCGGAGATTGAGTAGACTCAAGACATACTAATGCAAATATTCCAAAGCCACTGCCCACAATGTAGGTGCTGCATTCCTCACCTTATGCAACTAGATGATGCCTGCTTCAACAGTACATCAATCACTGACAACATATACACTAGAGACGGAGATAGGACTTTAGCGTAACTGCTTGACGCGTGCTCCAGTAGTGCTGATGTCCTGCACAGGAAAGAAGAGAAGAAAACATGTCTTCACACTGCTTCGCTAATATCAATCTGAGTCACACACACAAACCATTGCTGAAGGGTATCATAATGAACACGGGTGATTTAAAGGAAGACATGCACGCTTGTGACCTGCAAGCAATGAGCACACATTCTACGGGTACAGGCGTGTAATACGAATCTAGATGGGTAGTACAGAGCTGCAGTGGAAACAGAGCATAGTTGCTACAAAAGGGTACCAATGCACAACCCCCTTCTGCATACAGAATTACAGCAACTGAAACTCAAAGATGGCAGAAACGCATGGCAGTCTGCTAGAAGAGCAATTACAAGACAGGACCTATTAACAAATTGAACATACATGTCACTGAGGACCTCCTGAGCAACGTGAACGGACATCTTAGGCATCTTGAATATGACATAGCCAGGGGCATCATCATCATCATTATCACCAGCAGCCTTCAGTGGGCAGTCCGAGACACCGACAGAATTGTGGCACATAGCAACGGCCGATATTTCTTGCGGTATTACATCCACGCTGTCCATCAACCCTGGCAAAGAACAAGTATATTCAAACACACACACACACAAAATACACTACAATATGGCCGTTCGCAAAGACAAGACTGAACAGAGAATATCTCTGGCCCAGCATAATATACTTTTGTACACAAGTCAATGGCATTTAGAAGAAGAAGAAAAAGACACAGGAGCACCAAGAAATCATTTACACCTACCTCTTCGCTTCAAGAAGCTGAGGCAATCTCGATAGCCACCCTGGAACATGCGATCAAGCACATCAATCTTCGGTGGGAAAAGAGCTGATTTCATGCGGAACGCGTTGGTGAGCGTCATGCGAACGCTGGTGCCCGAGATATTCACTGACATATCCCAACCTTCCCGCTGATCACTTGGGCAGATGTCAGCTTCTCCACTGAACGGTGAGACTGTGATAGTCTCTCCTGGAAAGTCGGTTGGTAAGTTGTTCGTCATTCCACCATCCATGTAGAGCTGCACAAGATAGAAGCAAGGATGAGACACAGAAGGATACACGTTGCATCATCACTGAGCTGACTACTGGTGACAATCATTGATCACACATGTACACACAATGGCCTCTTCTTGGCCTGGACATTGACTGGTAGCATGCAGTACTATACTAACACTGCCGGCTGACTGCGGGAGAAATCAAATGCTTATGTTAAGGTTATCAAATGTTAACGCACACACACACACACACACACACACACACACACACACACACACACAAGCACGCACCACATGCACACCCACACACAAGCACACACGCACACCCATACACAAGCACCCACACACACCGTTAGACATTTGGCGCCCATTGGCAGAGGTGATGACAGCGATGCCACAGCAAAGAAGTCATGGCAACTTGTGCTGGGATTGCACCATTCAACAGCTTGCAAGGCTGGAGAGTAAAATTTAGTTGAGCACCTACTAGTACTAGTCCCCTTGTCATGTATCAAACTGTCATGTACAGACTGGGGTTGGACAGCTAGCCTCATAAAGACTAAAAAAGGTGGGCAGCACTGATGACATTCCTTGTGGTGTGATATGGCAGGACCGACAGACAGACAGCCACACACATGCCTTGCGCAGCAAGTCCTAAACAGCCACCCACCCAGCTAACTGAATTCAGTTCAAACAAGCACATATCACATGCCGAATGGGAGCATTACATTTTACTTTTTACTATGCATGTATATGTAAAAGAACTACTAGTATATGCACACCGAATGGGTGCATGCATGTATGTGCACGGAACAAACATGGCCATTTCAGGCCTTTTTTGAATTTTGAAAAGGATGGGAATCCACAGAATGTCACAAGTCATGGTTGAAGCTACGGTCTGCATCAGCTATAGAGCACCCGTTTGATGTCCGCGATGTTACCACTAAATCCAATGCATTACTACAAGCGACATTATCAGGTATGATTAAGTGCACATGCACAGTTATACATACATGAGGGGTGCAACCAGGTCCACAAGGTCACATGTGTATGCGAATGACACTGTACTGTACATGCACTGGGGATATGTGGAGCCTTCCAGGTGCACATACACACAACAAACATGGAAATGGCCCATAGCCACTGGACCGCACAAACACGTAGTGTACGTTTTGATTTGGTACGCTATCGTAATATCAAATTCATCACTACATGTATAGCCGATTATAGAGGCTATGCGATTACATCGTCAGTTGAGATGCTTTGGCCAGGTGGTGGACTCGCGGCACAGCGCTGCACTTGCACTAGCGACTCACGTTGCATACTTGTGCCCATTCGAAAATCTGCCGACTCACGATCGTATACTTGTTTGTGTCCATTTGGAAATTATTCGCATAACCCCTATTTATTCGAGTCCTGTTGGTGACAGGAAAATGTTTTCTTCAAACTTTTCCCGTTTGCATCCTCTCCCTCAAACCAATGAATAACCTCTATTGGTTACTAGTTATTGATATTTTGAGTGGCAAAAATGCATTTTGATGTTGATACAAAATACATGTAAAGGACGAAACAGTTCTGTCCGCAGATTGAGTAATTACAATGTCATGTATTTTGTCCTGATTATCACTCTCGTTGATACAAACTGAATGTACACAATTTGTCATTGTACAAGAACACCCTACCTATGGCTATGGTTTAGCTAGGGTATATACAGGGACACTACCGGTACTTTAATAGAGTTAGACACAAGGAAACAAAAATCTACGCTCCACTGACCTCGCCCCGATAGGAATGTTTGCCAAAACCGGCCCAGACGGGAATGAAGCACGTGGCCTTCAGCGCCTGAAACGGTATGCGTACACAAAAAGACAAGAACAGTAGATCTACGGAAAGCAAAATCAGAGCTGCAGCCATCAAGACTACCTCCAGAAGCATGAAGTAAACTATCCTGACTGCCACTGAATTCTTTGCACAATAGCTCGAACATCAATGCCTCACCAACGTTTAGTGCAAACAAGAGGCGCATTTCAAGAACAAATCCTAGAGAGTGGCAGCGCTGATTTCAAACTTACCCGAATCAATTCCAGGCGAGTGTTGAACTGTGAAGCCATCAAATTGGTAAAATGAGATACCCCAGTCAGTGATACTTGAAGCCGTCCATTACAAATGCGGTGGATATTTGGTGGTAGAAGGTCGTCGAACATGGTGTCGAGGATGGACATGACATCGAACGACGTACTCAACGGCCCGATCAAGGGTTTTCGAGCAGCTTCTGCTGTCTCCAGGATAGCTTTGCAGACTTTTTCAATGGAACAATTCGATAGCAACACTAAGCTAGCCAATGCACCAGCAGAGGCACCGGCTACGAAATTGAAACGTGGGATGAGCGTTGGTGCATTCTCACGCAAACATTGGATTACACCAATGTGGTAGATACCAAGAAATCCACATCCCGAGAACGAAATGTTGAGTGGAGAAGCTTCATTTTCACGATCTTCATCGTCCGCCATCGTCATCTGGACCTCCCCATGCGAAGGACACATCCAAGAGAGTACTAGTATCCACAAAACTAAACACACTCTCAGTCTGCAAATAAATACTTTGGACTCCAAGGAAAAAGGGTCCTCCCTCCTGAATCTGAAGAGTGAAGATCCTTTCTGCTACAAGTGCTTGCCATCTCGTTCTACATGTACTGACTACCAAGAGTACATAAAGGTTTATGTACTCTTGACGTCTTGTGACTACTGATAGTACAGTGTGTGTGCCTGGTTATGTACTCTTGTCTGAGTACTGTATGCACTGCACGATCGTAGATCTACGTGATTTTGTGTGTAGCTACATGTAGCTCGGATCCGCAGAGAGCGCACATACATCGCACGATGAGACTGGCCGACTGCACACGATAGACTACTAGTACTAGTTGTACGGACGGTACAGACTACAGACTCACCATGACGCATGACTTGAGTCCATGACCATGATGACCACACCACTCAGCAGTACTACCCAGTAGATTCGTACAATCACACCAGACGGATCGTACAGCTAGAGTACAGACTCACTCACGTGGTGTGTCGGGGGTGTGCGCTCTGTGTGTCCCATGATGACTCCCATCCCTCATACTAGAGTCATACTCATATAGTCATATGTAGTACATAAACCTACTCCTGCTCGAACATGTAACAGCAATACAACCAAGATAAGAGTACACGGTCATACTGAACCCAACAGTACGCTTGTACACGTGAAATACAAACCGAGGCGAAGCCGAGGTTTGCATGATGGTTTATACATGTATTTCACGTACAAGCGTACTACTAGTAGTGGGATATTATAGTATTTATACTTATGCTGACCTTCATATCATACAAACTGACAGTCAACTTCTTCCTGTTTCTATGGTGGCGGTCTATATGGGGGTTGTATGGGGTTTGTATGAGGTTTATATGCCCAGTATAACTATAACAAGAGGGGGGTTACTCTTGCTATAAGCCGCCAGCATGATGGGCAAGTAATAGTTGACTGGAAGTTTGTATGAAAGGTCAGCATAACTCTTGATACAACTGAAAGATCTAGAGCTACACTACGCATCGAGTACTAGTAGTCACTACTAAACTAGGCTACATTGTACTTTGTAGCCTACACTACACTACAGACTACAAGTACATGTACAAACCAGTCCAGACGGAGTGAGGAGGCGTTTCACTCCGGGTTGAGAGACAGAGTGGATGGAGCTACAGTACTAATATTTAAAATACAGAGTCAGTGTTGTCAGGACAGCTGCACATACCACGGCCGCCACCCCCCCCCCCCCCCTCCGACTTTGAAAGTCAAGCAAATAAAAGGAGCTTCAGAGTTCTCCCAAAAAAATGCGAAGCTCCTGGATCTTATAAGTAATTAGTTATACTTATAAGTTATAGTTTTAAAAGTACTCTTGGTGTTACCGGTACATGTCATCAATGGTCATGACTTCACAATGAGTGATACCAAGACTGAGGAGGGTTATGTTACTAACCGGTATGAAGTAGTTATGTACTCTCAAAAGTCTCATGTCTTGCCTTGGTGATATTCGTGTACAATCATGTACATGTAGCAGTAAAGTCTAAAGACTCCGGAGTCGTGCAGTGCTTTCACAGTACAATGTAGTAAAACTATAGAATAATAGAGTCTGAAGAACGTGGAGCCCAACAACCGGAACGTCCAGCCCGAAATTAAGACCGCCACAGCCTATTTTAAACAGCTAAGAACGGCTGTGTTGGTTTTCTGGCAGCTTGTGGGATACGTATGATCTGATCCACCCGATATGGCTTTAGTGCAGTTTCTTATTTGGGCGCTGCTAGGTGGAATACACTTCCACCGGCTTGCCGCATATCTAGTTCACCAGCTGAATTTCGCTCATCCATCAAATTATACCTAGGGTTCCCTGTAAAAGGCGCTGACGCCTGTTGGGAATTCCCTAGTAAAAGAAGAATAAATAATAATAATAACAATAATAATAACGACTACACCATAGCTCAGTGGTTAGAGCATCGTTGGCTACAAGCGAGGGTCCCTGGTTCGAGTCCTGGTGGTGACAGTCAATTTTTTCTTCAGACTTTTCCCGTTTGTCTCTTTCCCTCAAAACCAGTTAATAATAATAATAATAATAATACATGTAAATCCATTACGCACTGACTGTTTCTAAGAACGTGCTATATAAGAACGCAGCCAGATTGCTGAAAAAATAAGAACGTCCCAGGCTTTTAGGGTTTTACGTCGGGCCCTAGACGACGGCTACTTTGGCCAACCGGACAACGAAGAAGTTGTGACCAAAGAGAATGATTTTATTTCTTGCGCATGCGTATGTAGAATGACGTAATACTCAGGGAGTGAGGTCGCTACAGTACTCCCCCGCCAGTGGTGAGGTCGGGAGGAGCGAAGCACGATAAACAAGAAACAAGAGAGAGAAGAGAAAGGAAAGCGCAGCATGTACAAGGCGGAAAGGCAAAAATATAATAATATGATACATATGTACAGGCGAGAGCGCTGCGTGCGTGAAATTTGTTTAACAACGTGGCACAAATGCCGAAACAAAAATCAGAAAAGCAGGAAAGAGAGAGATGCATGACAGAGGCGGGTTAACGTGTCAGAGGTGTGTTAACGTGACAGAGGTGGAGAGCATGTCAGAGGCAGAAAGAAAGAAAAGAGGAAATGTACGCATGACAGAGGAGTGTTATCGTGTCAGAGGCGGAAAGAAAGGAAATGTACGCGTGACAGAGGAGTATAATCATGTCAGAGGCGGCTGCATGTTGCAGGCTTGGCGGGATACCAGCAGGAGCGCTGCACTGATGCGAGGCATGCCGAGTGAGGCGGGGACAGATGGAGGCGAGCGCAGCTCCATGGGGTCCGGTGCCGGGCGTGTGCCTGCGTGCGTGCACAGTGAGTGAGCTGGTACGACGGGTGGAGGTGGCCAATTTCCAGCTTGAGGCCAGGACGAAGACGACTGGACGATGTGCCGTGGCAGGATAGCGGGGTATCCAGGTGGGCCGGGAGGGTGGCAGGGGCCACAGCAGCTCCGAGGCGGATCCAGTGACGAGTGGTGGTGAGGCTCAAGTTTTACGTCAACAGCCGGCGATTGACGGGTTCCCGAGAGTTGAGGCGAGCAGGAAACTGCGGCGGGCCGAGCTCAGGGATGGCATGCTCAAAACTCCGAAGAGCGCAGCGTCAGGGGTCACCAATTTAGGGTTTTACGTCGGGCCCTAGACGACGGCTACTTTGGCCAACCGGACAACGAAGAAGTTGTGACCAAAGAGAATGATTTTATTTCTTGCGCATGCGTATGTAGAATGACGTAATACTCAGGGAGTGAGGTCGCTACAGGCTAACCCCTCGGGAACAACGTTACGTTCTTGGGCACGCGACTCCACTGGCACTACAAGTACAAGCATGTACTCTTGCTACAACTGTACAAGGTAGATCTACGCGTCATAGTTTTGAAATGGACTACCGTACTGGCAATATATGTTGCCGCAGTGAGGCCAAGAAGCGTTACATTCGCACATGTTTGCCGCACGCAGGGCGTTACATGCAAAGTCGCACAGGAGCCGTTACACAGGTTTCTATATTGCCGCAGTCCTTTTTTTGCTATTGCCGCATCACTTTTTTGCTATTGCCGCATCATTTTTTTGCTTTTGCCGCATCATCTTTTCTTTTCATCCACATTGAAGGCACAGAAATTCAGTTGCTATCCAACTGTTACAAACCCGACGGCAAAGGGCGACAACGATATCATAGAGACTTCTGCATTGTCACAAGGAAACTGGTAAACACATCGCTCTTCTTCGCAAAACGACCTCGGGAAAGAAGAAACCATTGAGATCGCCAACCACTGAATGATGCTTGGGCGTGATTTTCTTCACGCCGAAGGCGAATAGAGACTTCTGCATTGTCAAAAGGAAACTGGTAAACACATCGCTCTTCTTCGCAAAACGACCTCGGGAAAGAAGAAACCATTGAGATCGCCAACCACTGAATGATGCGCCTTCGAGTGTTAGGACTTCCTGCTGCGTCCAGTTTTGAACTTTTCACCACGCGGTAGATCTACACGTGCTTTCACAGTTTTCAGCCTTTTTTTTGCAGTGCAAACTGCAATGAAAAGATCGCCGCACCCCGCCGGACGCGCGTTACGAACTCAACGAAAATTTGTCGCACTAGCCTGGTCGCGCGTTACGCCGCACCCCCCTGCGTTACGCGTTACGCGGCAACATATATTGCCAGTACGGTAGTCTGTGTCTGTGTGTGAGTAGATCTACTCTTGGTACAGGTCTTGCTAGTTTTGGTAATGCCACTAATCATGCTAATGGTACTCGTACAGCTCTTGCTTGTTTTGGTAATGGTATTCGTACAGCTCTTCCGAGTGCTCGATGACTTTCCTGCATCCGTAAGACCTCGATATCCAGCTCTGGGTATCTTACAATACTTGCCGACCGAGGACTAGCGGAGAAGCGCATAATATGCAGGTAAGATAAGCAGGACTCCATACGACGTGATGGTCGTAGCGCTGTAGCGTGGCGAACAACTGACTCTTCGGCACTTGTACTTCTGTTCTGTATACTTGTTAGCCATTTCCTACTGTATCATTTTTTTTATTTCAGCAGCCCGGCACCTTTTGTAGATACGGCCATATGTAGCACCGGTACTTGCCGAGTCACTGTGGGCCATGGTAGGGACATGACGCGGCAGTTTGTTTTAGATGTAGCGGATCTTCTCCCATGCCGCACAAATACACCGCGGGTACCGGGTGTAACCATGCAGCATGCATGCCATTGCCAACGCATGGACTCGACTGTGCTCTGATATGAAGAATGTTTGTTGTCACTGACAAGTACAATGTACAATTATGTACTTGTGACAGTGACAATCAATCAAGAGCAGCAAAAGAATGAACTCTCCAAAATGATGATTGTATCAATCATGAGTGCGAAGGCAAGACCAGCCCATACATGTACATACCGTATTTCCTCGATTAATGGACCATGCTCGAATAATAGACCATGCTAAAATAGTAGACCCTCCTAGAGGCCTCACGGAAAAATAGTAGACCATGCCCGAATAAGAGACCCGGTCTCTTATTTGAGTTCATCGCTTTGCGCATGCGCACTAAGAAAGCACATGGTGGATCAAAAAAGGACGCTATTTTACGTTGCGTGACTACAATTTTTGTAGTGGCTAGTGCTT